TTGGTTATACTGTGTATAGCACTCATAACCGCCGAGAGTGCAGTAGTTAGAGGAGTACCTATTAACGATAGGACAGCATTATATATGTGGACAGTTCTTCGTACACATATTATCTGTTTCCTCGCGTTAAAAATCCCAACAAACTTAGGTGGCCCGTCCGGGTATCGATCTCGGGTTATCGTACTCGAAAGCCGACAACTTAGCCTTTCGGCCACCGAGGCCCCATAGAGAGAGACAGAGAGAGAGAGAGAGAGAGAGAGAGAGAGAGAGAGAGAGAGAGAGAGAGAGAGAGAGAGAGAGAGAGAGAGAGAGAGAGAGAGAGAGAGAGAGAGAGAGACAGAGAGAGAGAGAGAGAGAGAGAGAGAGAGAGAGAGAGAGAGAGAGAGAGAGAGAGAGAGAGAGAGAGAGAGAGAGAGAGAGAGACAGAGAGAGAGAGAGAGAGAGAGAGAGACAGAGAGAGAGAGAGAGAGTAAATTTTTCACTGTTTTCATTAAATGAATTGTTTTTTTTCATTATAAAAAATTTTGTTATATTTAAATACAATAATTAATTAATATATTCAATAGATGTACTTTTTTTATCTAAAATAATTATCTATTATTTATTTATCACTTTAAATTATAATTACGGTAACAATAAAAAAATTAATTCCTTTTTTTTAAAAAAAATATTTAAGAAAATAAAACTTATATATAAAATAATTATTTGAATTATAATTAAAAATTAGAGATCATTTTTTGAGATAAATTTGTATTTTTTCTTTCAATTTGATTGACAGTATTGATAGTAATAGATAATAGTTTTGATATAAATAACATACAAATGATGTAATGTTGAACAACTAATGTCTAGTGTTTGAAGTTTAGGTAGATTTTTGTGTAAATCAATAACAAATTGGCGATCAATTTGCGAATAATAAAGTGTTAAATAAGTCCATGAATTAATTGGTTGTAATGTTTCATATAATTTAGGATAAATTACTTGATTTAGATTATAAGTGATTTGCAAATTCAGATCCAATCGTTTCAATTGTTTCATTAGTTTGATGGCATTGTATGTCTCCTCATATTCAACCACTGAATAGACAACTAATTTCAAACTAAATGACTTTAATTGTTGACAATTGTTGGCAATTTTCATTAACGGTTCGCCAATCGAGTTGTTTAGTAATGTATAAAATATTAATACCAATTGTTGCAGTCGTTGTAATCGCTGGCCAATTACAGAGAGTACAGACATAACAGTTTCCTCAGTATCTGTACTATTGATATGTAGTTTAAGACATTTTAGATGATCACTGTTTCCTGCTATGAATGTCTCAAATTGTTTGATCTGATTGTCCAGTCTATGGCATGTAAATCGATGCAAACCGTTGACCAGCAATTGGTCGCCGCTAACCGTATAACTTATTTTGCCAACCGTTAGATCCGTTAGATTAGTCATCGATGACAGGTATGGCTTCATTGGCTGGCAATCAGTTAAGCTATAAATCGTTAATTGTGTAAACATTTCCGTAAATTTTTGACACCAAAACTTTATATCTTTGCCGTTCATACCGTTGGTCAGGCAATCGATTCGCCGGAGTAGTGGCCAAAGTTTACGCCGCCGCCGACGGTGAATGGCTCGCAACACATCAATCTTATGGTGATTAGTGCATCTAATCTCAACTGTATGAACATTGGGACACTTCTTCATCAGTGACGACCACTTTTGATGATTGACACAAAAATGATAGGAGTTTTTCATGAAAAATATCTTAGTTTTGATTATCAGTACCAATACTTTGTCATCAAATATGATATGTGTTTGCCGTTGAATACCCAACGACTGGAACCGTTTCGATACACACTCTAAGCGTAGCTGATCTTCAAATGGCAGATATCTTAGTATAAGTTCTGACAAATTATCGCCAAAACGATCAAATGATTGATTATTATTTGTGTCCATCACTTGATCTCTATATAACTAAACAATTATTAGTATTTAATTAAATACAAATCAATAGACCAATTGTTTCAACAACAAAATATGTATAGTTTTATGACTGAAAATATATGGATAACTATTTAGTAATAATTATTATTTATTTTTTGTTTGTAATAAATTAATAACAGATATTAATACTACTGTTTAGTTATAAGTTTATAACAACTGTGTAAACACTAAAACAAAAAATAATTTAATATTTATTTTTTGTTTAATGTTTACATAGTTTCCATAGAAATCCATAATTTTGATTAAGATATAAAAAATAAATAAAATATATTATGAAATAAAATTTAAATTATTTATAAGTAAAATCATTGACTAAAAACTAACTTTTAGTAAAACTTCAAAATAAAACAAAATATACGATAATTTTTTTATTTAGGATTTTTACTATAAAATTTTTCATAATTTTTTTCATCATATATATACTATAGTTTATTTAATAAAAAAAATATGACATTTAATTAACAATTTTTAAAATAAACATTATACATTATTGGTTCAAATAATCACATAATTTATTGCACAACAGTATTATATTATTATAAATGTTTGAAAAAATTTAAAAAATCATTTATTAGTAAATTATATAAAAATAATACTATAATAATAATAATAATAATAATAATATACAGGTAATAGAAAATAATTTTATCACATATAGTCCTATAGTGTTTATACACATAATTTTAATAGTTTTCGCAATAAATAGATTTTTATATCATTATAATTCATGTAAAGAGTTTGTTTGACACTTATTTTGATTGACTGTAATTTCGGACAACCGATGATCACTTGATGGACATCCGTATCACTAATAACTAAATCATTATTATTAATAGAGATTAATAATGTGGTCAACGATTTGAGTCGTGCTATATATGACATACAAGTGCAGTCAAATACACTACCGTTCGGGTCATTGATAGATAGGTATTGAAGTTTCGGTAGATTTCGATAGAAATGTGTGAAAAATTGTTTATCAATTAGTGATAACTCGAGCGACAAATGTGTCAATTGTGGCCAACAGTTGTCCGGTTTGATTGTTTTATAGAGTTTGAAGTCAATCAGTTGATTATTATCAATGTTATTCAGATAATGTCTAAGATTCAGATCCAATCGTTTCAAATGTCTCATCTGTTTGACGGCTCTGTATGTTTCCAGATAGTTGTCCAACGAATCAACTGTTATACGTAACCAAAGATACTTAAGTTGCCGACAATTGTTGGCAATTATCGTCAATGACTGGACAATCGAGTAGTTTATTGGATAGAAAAATAGTATTTCCAATCGTTGCAGTCCTTGTAATCGCCGACCGATATGCGTCAGTACATTGACAACAGTATCAGAGGTATCGGTAAAATGAAAACTAAGTGAAACAATCTGAAGATTACTGTTACCATCGATGAATGCCTTGAATTGGATCACTTGATTGTTGAGTGAATAGCAACTGAATCGACGTAAACCTTTGAATATCAATCGGTCGCCGATAAACGTATGATCTAATTGGCCAACCGATAGATCACGCAAATTGGTGATCGATGGCTTCATTGGCTGGAATTCATTTTCGCCGTAAATCGATAACTGTGTAAACATTTCGGTAAACGATTGACACCAAAACTCGATGTCTTTGCCGGTCATACCTATAGTCATACAATCGATTCGCCGTAGTCGTGGCCAAAGTGTACGCCACTGACGGTGAATGGCACGCAATATATCTGTTCGGTAATCTTCGCACGTAATCTCAACGATGGAAACATTGGGACACTTCTTCATCAGTGATCTCCACTTAGTTGTTGAGAAATAGTCTTTGAAAAAGTAAAACCATTTAGTTTTCATTATTAGATTTGCTTTGTCTTTGGCTGTAATCCGTGTCCTCTGTTGAATACCACACGACTGGAACTGTTTCGATACACACTCTAAGCTTAGCTGATCCTTAAGTGACAGTTGTTTTAGTATGAGTTCCGCTAAATCATCGCCGAAACGATCAAATGATGACTTCTTATTGTTGTTTTTGTTCATCACTTCAAGTGATACTTATTGTTGTTATTGTTATTAAAAAAAATTCAGTATTTTATTGCCAATCAATAGACCGGTTATTATATCGAAAAAGTTATTCAATTGTTGTATATATGATAAACAATTTTTTTTAGTAAATCATTAATAATTATTAATTATTTCTATGGAAACTGTAATTAAAAAACAGTAAATATTATTTATTTACTGTTTATTAGGTTACAGTTTCCATAGAAATTGTTTAAACAAATTAAAAAATCTATTGTAGAAAGTTATACTGTATTTTTAAAAAAATATTAAATTATTGTTTTAATTATTATTTGTTTTTTTTAAATAAAAAAAGTTTATTTAATAAATTCTAATTTATTTTTCAATTACTAAAAATTAATTAAGAAATTAACTACAAGTTTTAAAGTCTACACAACAAATGTTTAGTTTTTTAAAAATTATTAACGCATTTAACTTTAAATATTTAATTAATTTTGTTTATAATAATTGTATAATGTACGGTTAGCAAATTATATAAAAATTATTTCAGTTTTTTTTCAATTAATATAATAATGCAAATATATATATATATCAGGGTTAAGCAAGGTTTTTAGATTTTAGGGAGGGTAGGCTTGGGTGAAATTTACAAAATTCTTGGGAAATATAGGGTGAAGTGTAGACTTTTATTGCATTATTAAATTGCAATTTTTCAATTTGATCAACAAATCTGGGGGAGTAAAATCAAAAAATTATTTTATTATTCTATTATTTTAATATTTTAATATTTTATTAATTTTATTATTTTATTATTTTATTATTTTATTATTTTATTATTTTAATATTTTAATATTTTATTAATTTTATTATTTTATTATTTTATTATTTTAATATTTTAATATTTTATTAATTTTATTATTTTATTATTTTATTATTTTATTATTTTATTATTTTAATATTTTAATATTTTATTAATTTTATTATTTTATTATTTTATTATTTTACTCCATTTCTCATCTCTTTATATTCTTGAATGTCTAACCAATTTGATGACTGCATTTTCCGTGAGTAAACATTTCATTAAAAGTAATACAACTACTACTACAACATTTATTTGGTTGTTTTTTAAGACAACGTGCACCACCCGGTAGACAGGTTTCATCATCATCTAGAAAATGATAATTTTTAATCAAAAATAAATATATTAGTATAATTATATATATATATAGATACAGTAATTAATGGAAAGTATAAAAATAATAATTTTATTATATTTAGTTTTTATTTTAAATATATTAGTAATATTAAAAGTAATGTGATATTTAAAAAAAAAAAATATGAAAAGTTTTGTTTACTGAAATCTATAAAAGCCTTTTTAGTCTGTGTGTGTGTGTGTGTGTGTGTGTGTGTGTGTGTGTGTGTGTGTGTGTGTGTGTGTGTGTGTGTGTGTGTGTGTGTGTGTGTGTGTGTGTGTGTGTGTGTGTGTGTGTGTGTGTGTGTGTGTGTGTGTGTGTGTGTGTGTGTGTGTGTGTGTGTGTGTGTGTGTGTGTGTGTGTGTGTGTGTGTGTGTGTGTGTGTGTGTGTGTGTGTGTGTGGCATATTTTTGCGAAGTTTAAAATTTTGAATATAAATTCGGTTAGACTACTAATAATAATGTATTGAAAAGTTTCATCAAAAAATGATCTATCTTTTCGGGAACATATAGAAAATGGCGGCCAAAGTAAAAAAAAAATTAGGTAAAAATTTTAAAGTTTAGAATTGTATAGAGCATCAAAAATAATATATAATATATCAGCATTATTTTATTTTTCAATAAATGTCAGCAAAATTATGATTATAATTTTATAATCTACATGACTTTAGTTAAGTATATTTTTTCATACTGAACCATTTGATCTGCCACATGACTATAGTCATTTTTTTTGTCATATCAGGTCAATTTATACCCTATATGAAAATATTTAAATTATATATATATATATATTTGACCAGTTTTTAAGGTTATTATATAGCCGCTAACTAATGCTTTTCAACCTATTTATGTTATTCAAGATTTTATCTTAAAATGTTTTCTAGCATTCTTAACTGGTTTCAGCTAAAATATATCGATTTGATAGATAGAATTCACACACACAAAAAATTTAACAAAAAATTATATTTAAACATTTTTCAAATTATATTAAAAAACATGTTTAAAAAAACTTACGATATATTAAATTTCTTATTAAAGACTGACTTAACAATTAAATTAATTTTTTTTTTAAACTGATGATATTTATTGATACAATTTTTTTTTTATTTATAAACCCGTTTTTTTTTAAAAAAACAAGTTTTTGTTTTTCATTTTAAAAAACAAATTCATTATAAATATTACATTATATTTTTCTAATATTAATATTTCAATTAATAAATTAACAAATGGTCAATTTTATGTATATTTACCACTATTGACTAATGGTCAGTTTCATTAAATTTTACTTAAAATTATTTATTCAATATTAATTTAATATATTTATCATTTTTAACGATAAATTTTTTCAAAAGTTACCAATGGTCATTTATATAATTTTGCCAAATTGTTGACGATTGTTAACTTTTGAAAAATGTATCGTTAAAAATGATAAATATATAAAATTAATATTGAATAAATAATTTTAAATAAAATTTAATGAAACTGACCATTTCTTAATTGAAATATTAATATTAGAAAATTATAATGTAATATTTATAATGAATTTGTATTTTAAAATGAAAAACCAATTTTTAGTTTTTTCAGACTTTTCAAAAAAACCAAAAATTTTTATTATTTATTTTTATTTGAAAAAATTATTTATTATACATATATTGTATATTAAATAAATAAATTATACATGCATGATAATAATTTTTTTATAATTATAGAATTCTATTTATTTACTTATTTTTATTATTAGAATTATAATTATGTCAACCATTTACTAGACGACTGCATATTCCGTGAGTAAACGGTTCATTAACATCACAGATACCGTTACAACATAAGTGTTGGGTTTTTAAAAAACATTTTGTATCAACCGGTAGACAGGTTGTAGTCTCAACTAAGAAAATTAATAAATAATATCATTATAATTATATATATATATATAGAATTACTGGATAATAAATTTCTATTTGAACTTTAAAAAATTTCAATGTCATTTTTATTTTTTTAAATTTATTTACCACTATTTTTTTAATCAAAAAAAAACTTTAAAAATTTGCAATATTTCCTTTTTGGATTCATATTTCCAATCAATGTTATTATAGTATTAAATAACATGGATTTTTTTTAGCTTAAATATAGATAGAATTCCCCCAAAAACATTTTTTTAATAAAATTGAATAGTTTTCAAGTTAGGTATTATATATACCTTATATTATATATATACAGTATATATACTATATATAATACATAACTTGAAAACTATTAAATTATAATTTTATAAAAAAAATTTAATGAAATTTAGTGATACCATTGTTTCGATATTTATATAAACCCGAAAAACATTGCTGAGTTGTTTTTTCAAATAAGGATTTAAAGCCCTATTAAGTTATAATATTTTTTTTAAATAATATTTTGAAAAATATATTTTAAAACTTAATATTATTTTATTAAAAAAATTTTTTTTTATACATACTATCTTCATCATCATTACCACCAGCTTTAATTTATTATTCATCCAAATTAACATTGTTGTTGTATATATATATATACAGTATATAATAAATAAATTATACATGTTAAACAATTTTTAATAATAATAATAATAATTTTTTCATGTAATTTACCAACCTTGTTTTCTTCGATTTGCTATCAATTCATTGGTCACTACACGACCGCACTCTCCATGTGTAGTCGATCCGTCAAATTCACAAACACCGTTACAACATAAATGTGCCGTTTGTTTGTTGCATGGTGCATCAAATGGCATACAATTTGTAGCATTTTCATCATCACCATCTAGAAAATGATTGATTTTTTTTTGTTTGATTTGTTATTTTGTTTTAAATAAAATAAATATATCAATTATTACAATTAATATACAATTACAATATTACAATATTACAATTAATGGACAATTTTTAAAATAAAATTAATTTCTATATGTTTTGAATAGTTTTTATTTAAAAATTATATTTTTTTATTAACCACTTTCTTAAAAACAAAAAAACTTTTCAATGTTTCCATTGGATTCATATTTCCAAAAACAATGACATTACTAATTAAAATATAGACAGATTTCATCTATAAAATAAACATAATTTTTTTTGAATAAAATTATAATTCAATAGTTTTCAAATTATATATATACAAAAATAAATATGTTTAAAAAACATATCATATATTAAATTTTCTATTAGAAGACTGACTTAACAATTATACTAAACTTTTAAACAAATTTTAATGATACAATTGTTTTATATATATATATTATACAGTGTATATATACATTGCAAAGTTTTTTTTTAATATTTTGATAAGCATTGCAAACCTCTATTAAATTATAATACTTTTTTTTTTATTTTAAATAATTTATTTAAAACTAAGATTATTTTAATTTTAAAAAATTAATACAAACTGTTATTTGTATTGTCATTATTGCCACCATTGCCCTCATTATTGCCACCATTATTGTCATCATCATTGGCCATACAATTGTTTGCTAATAAATCTATTATAACAATCATCATAACTATTAACATAAATAGTTTACTAAAAATTAATAATTTCATTGTAGTTAATGTTAATTGATAATTGTTTTATTTAAATATATATATTTATAACAAATATCTATTATACAGTATATTTAGATTAATTAATTTATAGTTTTTAATTTTTTAATTTAAAGCAATTGTTGCTAACTGTAAAACAATATTTTTAAAGTAAAAAATTAATAATAAAATATACAGCAATATGTTTTTTTTGGTGAAAAGTATTGGCACATTTAACTTTTAATCAATTCAATTAATTTTGTAATTAGATCAATTTACAAATAATTAAATAACAAATCAATTAATTAATAATTACAGGTTAGCAAATAGAAATTTTGAAATTATTAAAAAAAACTAATATTTTTTTAACTATTTTAAATAAATATGATATTGCAATTATATATTTTTTATATAATTAATTTCAATGTTATATAAATATTTTGGATTTTGACAAAAAAATCATTATTTTAAAACTGTTTTTAAGATAAAATGTTAATAAAACTATTAATTAGTGTATTATTTAATTAATCAATATTATTATATAAATATATTTTAAAATTAATAAATTATAAACAATATAATAATAAAAATTTAATAAAATATTTTTTTTTAGTATGATATACGATAAGTAATTATTTATTAATTAATTATTTTTCTATAAGCATTAAAATGTGTGATTTAGATATAATTTTTATAACAATACTATATTTGATAATAATATTGATAATAAAACATTATTTTTTTAGATAAAAAAAAGTTCAATATTGTAATTGAGATCGTAATTACATGTAATTAAAAAAAATTAATAATTAAACTGCTAAAAATAATAATAGCAATTATTTACAATAAGTTATAAAAGATACATTTTATATTATATTTAATTGTGTCTAAAATATTATGTCATATATTGAATATAATATGATAATATATATATATATATATTTTTTTAATTAATATTTCTATTAAATATTTCTAATATTTTTAAATTGTTAATATATTTACTTAATAATTTGAATATTTACTAAATCAGTAGATATTATTTTTTATGATTTTCAATTGTTTTTTAGATATTTACTTAATTTTACAATATTATTTGTAATATAAATTTGCATTTTATTTATTAATTATTTTATTTAAAATTTTAAATCAGTAAAACACTTTTTATTTTATTAGTTTAATAAAATGTTAATACAAAAATAAATAAATAATATATTTATTGATTAGTAAATAACATTACTAATTATAGTTATTTTTAATAATAAAAAAAGATTTCCAAATATAAATGAAATCACATATTTTCAATAATATTAATTAACAATAATTTGAAAAAAATATTTTGAAATTAACTACAAAAAAAGGTTAATTAAGTAATAGTACTCTAAAGTACTATTATATGATTTATTGATATACATATACAAAAACAAAATTTATTTAGTAAATTATGAAAGTCATCATATTTTCTTTGTTTGCATAAAATCAATGGTTAGCAACTGTACTGTATATAAAAACAATTGAATTACTATTTAATATATATATATATATACAGTATATATTGATTTTGTTTGAGTTAAAAATATTTGAAATACACTGTTTAAATAATTATAATTAAATTAATATTTTATTTTTTAAAAAAAATTATCCATAAAAATGAAATCAATTTTAATTCTAACTGTTTGCATAATACTGGCAATTGTCTGTATTCAACAAACTAATCAATGTAATGTATAATCATATAGTTTATCATAAACTATAAATTAATTATTATATATTTTTTAAAAAATGTAAACTTTTATATTGTAATTTTTTTTAAATTCTAACTTAAAGTATTTTATTTATTATATAGACTTGAATTTACTAAATACTTAATCAATTTACTGTACAGTTAACGTTTAAATAATGTATAATATTATATATATATATATATATATATAAATCTATATAATTTATAGCTCCTACTTGTCCTGATCCTAATGCCAATTGGGCTGACTGCAAGTCCAACTGTCCGCCTACCTGTGCCAGTAGGTGTAATCCATTAAGTTGTACACAAGAGTGCAAAACAAAGGGATGTCAATGTAAATCGGGTTATTTGGTCGGCAATAGCGGCAAATGTGTAACCGAGGATCAGTGTACTAACAAATGTTAAATACAATAATTTTTTAATTGTTTTGTAATTTAAAAAGTATTATTATTCTTATAAAACATGTTTAAAAAAAATAATAATAAATTCAATTTTATTTCAAACTATTTTGTTTTTTTTATAAATAAATTGTTTATATTAATATATATTTTTTAATAATAATATTATTATTATGTTTTCAACAAAAAAAAACATTTACAGTACAAATTGTTGCACTCATTGTAATCGCCAGATAAGCAACAGCAATTTAAATTAAATAAAATGTTAAAACTAAGAAAATTATTAATTACTAATAATAATAATAGTAGTAATAGTAAATTGGTTAATAAAAATAAATGAAAATTCATTTTAAATGTTAATATATTAATTAATATATAATTTTTAAAAAACAAGTCTTAAGTTATTGTAAATATTGTACGTTTATGTGATTTAAGTAAAAATATTAACTATATACGGTAAATATAATATTTATTATAAATATTTAATACAATTTTTTAATTAAAAAGACAACAAAATTTATTTATTTAATTACTATATAACTTTTAAATAAATATTTCAAAGCAATGCTTGCTGTACAATGATTTTGAAAAAAAATAAATAGTAAAATATATTAAAAAATTATAATTGAATTTATAGTGCAATAAAAATTATTTTTATTATAAAAATTTATATTACATATAAATATTATAGTTATATTAATTTAATTAGTTTTTTAATTTTATTAATTGTGTCTAAAATTTTATGTCATATATTGAATATAATATAATAATAAAGTTTTTTAATTAGTATTTCTATTAAATTTTTCTAATACTTTTAAATTGTTACTATATTTACTTAATAATTTTAATATTTACTAAAACAGTAGATATTATTTTTATGATTTTCAATTGTTTTTAAATATTTACTTAATTTTACATTATTATTTGTAATATAATACTGTATAAATAAATTTGCATTTTATTTATTAATTATTTTTATTTTAAATCAGTAAAACACTTTTATTTTTTTATTAGTTTAATAAAATATTAATACCAAACAAAATAATAATATATTTATTGATTAGTAAAAAAACATTATTAATTATAAGTTATTATTATTTAAGTAATTATTAGTTATTTTTAATAATAAAAATGATTGCCAAATAAAAATGAAAACTCATTTTTTAAATAGTAATGTTCATAATTAATAATAATAATAATAATAATGACAAAAAAATATTTTGAAATTAACTACAAAAAATGTTAATTAAGTAATAGTACTCTAAAGTATATTATATGATTTATTGATATACATATGCAAAACAAAATTTATTTAGTAAATTATGAAAGTCATCATATTTTTTGTTTGTTTGCATAAAATCAATGGTTAGCAAATGTATAAATATATAAAAACAATTTATTTACTATTTAATACATTGTATATACTGTAGATATATTTATTTTGTATCAGTCAAAAAATATTTGAAATACACTGTTTAAATTTTTTTTATAAAAGTTAATTTTTAAAAAATTATCTATAAAAAAATGAAATCAATTTTGATTCTAACTGTTTGCATAATACTGGCAATTGTCTGTATTCAACAAACTAATCAATGTAATGTATAATCATATAGTTTATCATAAAGTATAAATTAATTAATATATTTTTTTAAAAATGTAAACTTTTATATTGTAAATAATTTTTTTTATTAAATAATTATTTTTTAATTCTAACTTAAAGTATTTTATTATAGCCTAGAATTTACTAAATATTTTACTAATTTACAGTTAACCTTTAAATAATTTATTGTTATTTATTTATTTTTTATAAATATAATCTATAGCTCTTCGTTGTCGAGATACCAATGCCATATGGACTGACTGCAAGTCCAACTGTCCGCCTACCTGTGCCAGTAGGTGTAATCCATTAAGTTGTACACAAGATTGCAAAACAAAGGGATGTCAATGTAAATCGGGTTATTTGGTCGGCAATAGCGGCAAATGTGTGACTGAAAAACAATGTACTAACAAATGTTAAAAACAAATACAATTTTTATTCATATATATATTTATATTTTATTTGATATTTTATAACTATTTTTCATATATCATAATTCAATAATAAATATTAATTGTATACAAATACAAATATAAATCTATTGATAATTTTTGTTTAAGTAATTTAAATAAATAATGATTTTTTTTTGAAAAACACATTTTACTATTTTAAAAAAATATATAATACAATGAAATAAATAAAATATTTTAATGTCTGACACAAAAACTGACTTAAGGTGCCAAACATTAGTTATCAAAATATTTTGAGTTTCACTTAACATAACTGTAACAAAAATTTTCACTATTGATCGAAATGTTTTTATAAAAAAACTATTAATGAATTAATTTTATATATTTTTTTAAGTATCATAAATATGGCGACATATGATTTTCTGTCATTTTGAGACTTTTATTTTTTTATATAAGTTACGATATAGCCGTTATTACTATACAAACTAATGGTTTTAAAAATATTTATGATATTCAAGTTTTTTTTCTGGAAATGCTTACGAGCATTCTCAACTGGTTTTTTTGATATATATATATATATATAAATCTATATAATTTATAGCTCCTACTTGTCCTGATCCTAATGCCAATTGGGCTGACTGCAAGTCCAACTGTCCGCCTACCTGTGCCAGTAGGTGTAATCCATTAAGTTGTACACAAGAGTGCAAAACAAAGGGATGTCAATGTAAATCGGGTTATTTGGTCGGCAATAGTGGCAAATGTGTTACTGAGGATCAGTGTACAAATGTCAACAAATGTTAAATAAAATTTTGTCAAACATAACTTTTAAATTTCAATAGTATTTTTATTTTATTTTTACAGATATGATTTTTTGTGTTAAAAATTTCAAATTGTCTATGTTAAGTTAACATTGTTAACATACTGTATATTTTTCATAATAATAATAAATGCATTTAATTTGTGATGATATAGACATCACTACCGTTACCCATTGTCCATAACAAAGTCGATTTTGTTATGACGATATTAAAACACATTTAAAATTTATTAATTTTATTATAATTAATTATATTTGATATTATTTCCTAATTTTTTTGTTGTTTAAAATGAATTATAATTTATTATTAATTATGTAAATAAGTTAAATTAATTATTACTATGTTTTATATACTGTGATTATTAATACATGTAATCTATCTTAGTTTTTTATATTTTAATTTAATATAATTGGAAATTTGTTTATTAAATTTTTAATTTTTTAAAATTTATTTTATTTTTGTTATTGTGGTTATTTTAATAAAAAATAAGCTACATAGATATTTATAAAATGTTTTCATTTTTTATGTACATTTGGCAATTCCGGCTTTTTCAGTACACAAATAACAATTAATTGATATCAATTTGCGGAACCCGTTGATCACTTGACGGATAACTATTTCATTACTAAATATAAGTCTATTTTGTTTAAATTAAATTAGCAAACAATTGTTTTTTTTCTATTAAACTGAAAAGTCATCTTATTTTTTTCAACACTAAATTCAATGTTACCAAAAAAAAAATGGTATTAAAACTTATTATTTAATAAATTTTTTAATTCTAATAATTTTCAACTAATTTGTAATTTTCAAATTAATTTTTACTTTTTTACTAAAAAAAAAATATATAAAGATGTTATTAATTGTGATTTTACTCATATAAATAAATGGAAAGTTTTGTATAGTATTAATACATTTTTTTTAGGTAATTACTAATTAGACAAAAATTTATATGTTTTATATAACTTCTAATAAAATTTATTAATTTTTATAAAAACAAAACTATTTACACAAAAAATGCAATATAATTGTGAGTAAGCAGTTATTAACAATAATCATACAATAATTATGTATAATATATAAAAAATAATTTATAATTTGATAATTATTTTTTTTAAATATTAAATTAAGTTATAGTAATTTGTTTGTGTATTAGTGTAATACTGTACTAAAATCTAACAATTATTATTATTATAGCTTAAAACATGGCATCAAATAATGATTTCTACGATGAAGTGAGAAACTCGCGAAACTTTACCGGAAAAGTAGTATTGGTTACGGGATCTGGTGTTGGTATCGGTGCTTCAATTGTCAAGTTATATTCAGCACTGGGAGCTAATGTGGTGATCACCAGTCAAAATGCAGATGATGTCCATAAAGTGGCTGTCGAAGCGCAACAGTTATCACCTAAAAAACTTAAGGTATTTATTAATTATAGATTTTTATTTAAAAATCAATAAATTATTACATTATTATTAAATTAATTTTCTGTATATTATATTTTAATAATATAATTTATAGTTATTTTTATATAATGATATAACTTGTTTTTTAATAGAGTAGTTAAAATATTAATATAATATTAGTTTTTAAAAAATATATTTTTTCATTATCTATGTTATGTATGTTTAGCCATTAGAAGTGATCGCAGATCTAACCAAATCGGATGAATTGAAAAACTTATTAAACAAAACCATCAAAACATTTGGCAAATTAGATATTTTGGTCAACAATGCCGGCAGTATATCATACGCTCCTATAGCTGATCCTCTATTTATTGATAAACTCAAGTCAACCGAAACACTTGATATCAATGCAACACTAGAGCTGACACAACTGGCCATTCCTTATCTGGTGAAAACCAATGGCAACATTATTATGATTACAGCAACTATTACTGATAGACCGGTAATTATTATTATTAATATTATTTATATTACCGTAAATAAAAAAAATATATGTTAATTTAAATATACATTCATATAATTATTTATTAATTTAAATATATATATATATATATATATATATATAGTTAAAAGGTTATCTTGGTTATATTATTGGTAAAAGTGCATTGGAGCAAGCCACCAAGGTACTATCAATTGAATTGGGTAGTCAAGGCGTACGAGTTAACTCAGTTAGGTTAGCTATTCTGTTGATTTAATACATTTAATTTATTACAATTAAATCATAACAACAACAAAATTATAAATAATATTTAATAAAATTTCTATCAAATCCATAGCCCGGGTGAAGTTGACTCTAAGACCGTAATTATTGAGTCAACACTTTTAGATCGGTCAGCAAAACAGACACCACTGGGCAGAGTAGGTGATCCCCGAGATATTGCCACTGCTGTTGTCTTCCTGAGCTCATCGGACGCCCGATTCATAACCGGTCACTGTTTGGTAGTCGACGGCGGACTTCAATATAATATGGATTCAGAATATTTGGAAAATTATAACTTTTGATTGATTTCTATGTAATGTTTATCGAGTTTTAGTAACTTAAATATTTTTTTTTTGTTTAATTTATTATTATAAGTTCAATTTGAATAACAAAAATAACAAAAATAATAATAATAAACAAATTTACTATAATAATAATTCTAGAATATTGTTGTTTTTTTAAATAAATTTTTTATATTAATTAAATTATGGTAAATAAGTTATTACTCTAAATAAGTTAATATTTTTGAAAGTTATTTTTAATTATAAAAATTTTATCTTATTTTTTTACACCCAAACTTTTATTTTTCTTTTGAACTTTTTTTTTAAAAAAAAAATTTCAAACAAATAGCAATTTATCTGTAATACACAGTTAAGTCTCTCTCTACTCAATATATCTATTATATGATATACAATATATACTAGTATATATCTATATTTGTAAGGTTATGTTTATACTGTATGTACTTATTATTGATAATATTTTTAGATTTAATTAACAAACAAAAAACTAGTCATAAGGTTTTTTTTAAACATGAATTAAATATGAAACTTGCATTTATATATAAAACATATTTCATATTTATTATTCAATTTATTTTAACTTTAACTCTCATCACAATCAATATCTATTTTCAAATGTCCTTCAATTTACATAAATAGTAGACTATTTATATTTGATTTGTATTAAACATTTGATCAAATGATATCACTATAAATATATAATTATAAGATTTGACAAACTTTTTTTGTTGTTGATTAAATACATCAAATGCTATTGCAATTAAAATGTTTTAAATTGTGTAATAATATTTGATTATACAATATATTCAATATATATATATAAGTGCCAAAATATATATATAATAAATTATATTAGTTTATAATATAATAAAAAAATATTAAATAAAATTTTTAGTTGTATGTTATATAATATCAATATATATATAATATATATAATACAATTAGTAGAATTAGTGCCTTAAAAAAAGTTTATTCAAATGTGATAATATAGTATATGATTGTTATTAAATATATTATAAGTAGTAATTATTAATATATATAAAAAAAATTACTGATAAAATAATGAATATATTAAATAGTCTATCGATTATAAAGTTATTAATATACAAGAATTGGTTGATCCGTTATCATCATAAAACACCATTTATTTTATTATTTTTATTACCAATTATAGTGACCACTATTATTGTACTGTTGACTGGTGTTACCCGACATAGAAATATCAATGAATTTAATTCAAGACTAAATTCACCAATAAATGTGACAACAATTAATGCAACGTATTTTCAAACAAAAAATCTACTAAAAGATAACATTTTAGTTAGAGATTATCGTAATCTAACAATTGTTTTCTATCCCAATAATAACATGACTAATAAACTAATGGATAAAGTAAATGATTATTTGATGAAATATTTTGCTAAATATAATAATTGGCAAAAAGCTGTACCAATCAATGATAGACAAGATTTGATTAAATTGATGAAACAATTTAAACTGCAAGCAATTAATTCAATTCATTCAAACAATTTGAAACAAACTAATTATTTAGTTGGTATTGAATTGACAAATATTGTTGAAGAGGAGGACGACATCGACATCGACAACAAACTGCCCAAACATTTGGATTATAAAATTACACTTCAAAGCGAAGATTATCGTACAAATTATAATCACTATTTAGTTATCAATGATTATAAAAATTTTCCACCAAAATATCACAGTGGTTATTATGGACGACTAGATTTTGCACAAATACAACTGATCATTGATCTGGCATTCATATCGTTGGTTACCAACGGATCAGTTGACTTAATAACACAACAACAACAAAATGTTGAATTTTTTACACAACGTATGCCATTGCCATCGATGACTGTTTTGGAAAAGTTTGAAAATTCATATTATCTATCAGTTTATGGTAATAATCATATAGTGACAGCTATTTTATTGTTTAATATGACAATCATGTTATCGGTTATTATTAAGCGAACCGTCGAGGAAAGGCAGACCCGTATAACCGATTATTTACTACAATTGGGTGTCCGTAGACATGAGCTATGGCTTAGTGTTATATTGGATGGACTGATAGTTATTAGTTTGCAACATATTGTTGTGACTTTGATTTTAATGATAGATAATTGCGAGTTTGTCGACGAATACAGTCGACAGGTTATACTGTATTCGTATTCACTTTTGTACGGAATGTCAATCACATTATTTTTGACATTTTTATTGCTATTTCTCATCCAATGTATATTATTTGTATGTTTTATATCTGTATTTTTCCGCAATCCTAACCTAGCAGTTGTTGTGACAATGATTTTATGGATCATTACGTTTGCGATACCGATTGGCCTGTTGTTTGGCTTACTAGGTATGGGTAGACCCATGTTGTCGTATATGGGTTTAGAAACTATGACCTGTCTATTACCTAATTGTGCACTATTTTGGTTTATACACATATGTTTTGGATTGGATCAAACGGCCCGATCGGGTGCCGATTGGATACATATAAATGATTCCGGTTTTATTTTTGATGAAATGACTATAAGTCATATATTTTTAATGATGTTTATATCATATTTTATATACAGTTTATTAATTTGGTATTTTTCATCAGTCATTTCACATAAATATTCAATAAGTAAACCATTTTACTTTCCGCTTAAATATTTTGTTAATTTATTCAAAAATATTTTTGTTGTAAATAAGTGTCAGAATAATAATAATAATAATGATAATCAAGATATAAATTTTGATGACAACAAACACGGAATTATAGATATAAAACATTTAAATAAAAAATATAATTCATTATTTGGATTCAAAAGTGATAATAATAATGTACTCAAAGATATTAATTTAAAAATCAATAATAAATCTATTGCTGTGATTCTTGGACCAAATGGTTCGGGAAAAACAACATTAATCAACACAATTACCGGTAATTTTATTGTTTAATTATTATTATTATTATTTAATTTTAATATTTATAATTTTCTCAATAATTTAATTTAACATTTATAATTTTAATATTTAATTATTTAATATATCTGCAGAAATATATGTGACTTATATTATCAATAAATTAATATAAATTAAAAACATATTTAATATATATATATTATTTTAATTTGAGTTTTTTATTTTGGGTTTTTTATTATTTAGATTTAGCCAATTAATTAATATGAATTATATGTATTTAATATTTTTTATTTTGAAAATTTCAATTCAATATTTTAGGTTTAGTTGACTATTCGGGTGATATAACCATTGGTGGTCACGATATCAGCCGTGAACAACATTTAGTACAAAACATGACCGGAATCTGTCCACAGGATAACGTCTACTTCAAGTTTCTCACTATTAGTGATCATTTGACGATATTTTCACGTCTCAAACAACTCATACGCAATAATAATGACGGATATACTGATAAACAGTTGATCCAACTCTTGGATCTTAACAAAGACGTCAACAAAGAAGCCTATCAGCTGTCGGGCGGAACATTGCGTCGACTTGTTTTGGCCATTGCTTTCATCGGTCCCAACGATGTCCTGATATTAGACGAACCGTCAGCCGCTTTGGATCCGAAAGTTACCCGAAAAGTCTGGGATCTAATTAGAGATTCGCGAAAAAACAAAACCATTTTAATAACAACACATCATTTGGATGAAGCAAATCTATTGGCGGATCAAATCAGTATTATAGCTAAAGGAATGGTATGTTTTAATGGATCAACACTTGATATGAAAAAACAATTCAATTCAGGATATCAGTTGAAAATATGTAAATCTATTGAATATGAAACTGACAATCAAATCACTGAAATTATTAGAAAATATACTAACATTAAGAAAATTAGTAAAAAATGCTTAATTGATACCCAACAAGAAGTTAATTATGAACTAAATTTTGAAGACAATCATAGATTTTATGAAATGTTCAGTGAATTGGAGGAAAATAAATCAAATTTAGCCATAAATGATATTTCATTAGATATGCAAACACTTGAGGGCTCGTATGCAAAGATTATCAGTGAAAACAATTTTCAAAACAATTTAAATGAAAATTATTTTGAGACCGAAATCACCGATGAAGACAATAATTTTATTTTAGAAAATAATACAATAGTTTCTAATAATAATAATAATAAACTAATATCTCAACAATTAAAACCATTAGTATATCAATTATATGCCATATTTATTAAACGATTACTTTATTTATCGATGAATATCACTCAACTCATAACACTTGTAATAATTCCTATATTGACTATTATATTGCTATTTATATCATTGAAAATAGTTTACAATCTATCCATATATGATAAAGAGCCTATTTGTTTGAATAGTAATCAATTATATGGCAAAAATAAACTCGGATTTATTGATTCAAACAACAATACAAACTTTGAAAATGCTTACACAAGTGTCTTGGATGACAATAATTTGGATAAATTGATAATTTCTAACCACAAATCAGATGATGAAAATATACAAGATTTTCTTCTAGAATATTCTACTATTGGATATATTAATTATTTTAAAAATTTATTATACGGTGTTTCAGTTAATTTTGATACTAATAATAATAATAATAATATATTGAAGAATATAACGGTTTGGAGTAATCATTTAGCTATACATTCATTGCCTATTTCAGTAAATTTAATGACAAATTCATTGTTAAAATATTTAACAATAAACACATCAATTGATTATTCAATTAGTGTTACAAGTGATCCATTGAAGATCAATTGGTCCGGTAATGAGTTAAATAAATATTATAAACGTGTATTTAATTTCGATGTATTAATTGGCGTCAATTATCTAACATTTATGTGTTTATTCACATTTATGTCGTCCACATATGTATTATTGCCGATAACTGAACGTAAAACACAATTCAAATTACTTCAACTAATGTCAGGACTCAAACCCATAACCTATTGGTCCCTTAATTTATTATTTGATTTAATACTACATTCATTGTTGTCATTAGTATATGTATTTGTATATTATATGTTTGATACGGATATGATATTTATTGGACCCGAAAATCATTTTACAGCCATATATCTGACATTTGTTTTCTATGGATTTTCATTCATACCATTTGCATATCTAATATCATTTATATTTTCAAAACCTAGTTCTGGTTTTACATTTATATCACTTTATAATATAATTATTGGATCACTGATTGAATTAATTCAAATGAATCTATCATATAGACCCAGGTATGCATGGTTTTTAACCCATAAGTTAAGGACAGTTATCTTAGAGTTGACTGCTTTTCTATCGCCTAATACCATATTCCTTAATTGTATGCATTATCTGAATCAAGTATTCAATCAAAATAATATGTGTCCGGATTATATGAAACTAAATGAATCGGAAAAACAATTACAATACAATTGTATGGATAATAATCGATATACATATAATATATGTTGTTTACCTCAATGTAATCAAACATACAATTATAATATCGACAATGTATTCACAATTTATAAATTTAGATATTATAATATTCCTCGATGTTATTACTCAATCAATGTCTATGATTTTATATTTAATTATTTCATACGATTTATAATTTATGGTATTTTATATATAAGTATTGTACTAATTATTGAAACAAAATATTATAAACGTATTTTTAAACTAATTAAAAGTTGGAAATTGTTGTCAAAAAATTTGAACGAAGAAATAAAAGAAATACCATTAGAAGACTTAACACTTGAAACAACACCAGATCTAAGACAAGAATATGAAATGGTTTCGAAAATTATCAGAAATAATGACTTAAATAATGTATCACTTGTTGTAGAAAATCTCAACAAAATGTTAAACAAAACGACAATTATTCCTAAATCCCTATCATTTGTGGTCAATAATGGAGAATGTTTTGGATTATTAGGTATTAATGGTAGCGGAAAAACAACAACATTTCGATTGCTTACCGGAGATCTGGAATTAGATTCAGGCAATGCCTACTTGGGCTCAGCTGAAGCTAACCTTTTAACAAATAGACGACAATTTTTCAGTCAAATCGGTTATTGTCCACAAAATGACGCCCTTTTAGATCGACTGACCGGAAGACAAACCATAATATTCTTTGGCCGACTCAGAGGTCTATCAAAAGCGTCGTTAATTAGATTTATTGATAATATATGTCAAAAGTTTAGTCTACAAACTATAATAGATAAGCGATTGTCGACTTATAGTGGCGGCAATCGCCGCAAACTATCGCTGGCCATTGCATTGATTGGATCGCCTCGACTGCTACTACTGGACGAACCGACCAACGGTGTTGATCCCGATTCACGGCTGAATATCTGGCAAATACTAAGACAATTGATTAGTGAATCAAATATTTCTATACTATTATCTTCGCATAATATGGAAGAATGCGAGACATTGTGCTCTCGATTAGCCATTTTGTCAAACGGTGTCATCAAAACAATCGGATCTCTACCACAACTGAGAAAATCATTTGCCAATGGATTTGATATAATATTAAAACTAAATTGTGATTCAAAAAGCTATGATCATATTAATGATGAATTAGATTCAAAAATGAAACAACTATTTGGCGAAAAATCTATTATTAATAATAAATATTCAAATTCAGGTGTATTTTATTATCATCTCATTGGAGATGATTTGAAATTATCGCAAATATTTCAATCGATGCAATCAGTAAAACAAGATTTCAATTTAGAGGACTATATGTGTGGTAATAGTGGTCTTCAACAGGCGTTTCTCGCAATCACGACATTCAATACTTAACTATAATATTAATAAACATTTAATAAATTAATAAATCTGTATAATATCTCATATAAAATCCATAAAAAATTAAGATTATGTTTCTTAATATAACATAATATTATAAATAATTTTCTATAATATAATAAATTCATTTATTCATTGATGGACTTAAATATTAGATGAATTGCAGTTTGTTTTTTTAAATTATTTAGTTATATAATCTAATATTAAAATACAGGTATTTTAATATTATATATAATATCTGTAAATAGCATTTAATAGTATATATCGCACAAAAAAATCATTAAATTTAATTTATTAGTGATATTGTTGTTGTTGTTGTCGTTGTTCTCATTGTTTGTAATATTTCTTCACTTATAGTTTTTTTTGGCCATTGATTGACAATGAATTCAATTTGCGGCATCCGTTCATCACTTGGAGTACATCCGATTCATTGATTAATATATTATTATTTCTGGTATTAATACTTAATGTCATCAATGATTTGAGTCGCGATATAAATGACAAACATATTCCGTCAAATAGTTTAATCGCTGAATGAATGTATAGATATTGAAGTTTCGGTAGATTTCGGTTTAAATCAGTAAAGAATTGGTAATCCAAATGTGATAACCGAAGTGTCAAATGAGTTAATTGTGGCCAACAGTTGACCGGTTTGAGTGTTGTATAGAGTTTGCCATCAATTACTTGATTATCATTATTATTGTCGACGACTTTAACGCAAAGATCCAATCGTTTCAATTGTTTCATTAGTTTGACGGCATTGTATGTCTCCATATAATTGACCACTGAATCCACTTTCATATATAATTCAAATGACTTTAGTCGCCGACAACTGTTGGCAATTGTCATCAATGGCTGGACTATCGAGTAGTTTATTGTTGCCATAAATTTTAAATCCAATCGTTGCAATCCTTGTAATCGCTGGATAAGTGATAGCAATGGCTTAACAGTATCAACGCTCAAATTGAATCCGGAATACAGTTCAAGAATATTGAGATCACTGTTACCATCGATGAATGTATTGAATCGGTTATACATATTATCGTCAAAAAAGCTATTGAATAGACGTAACCTATTGACCACTAACTGGTCGCCGATAAATACATCATTTATAGTAAAAGCGTATAATTCACATAAGTTGGTCATCGATGACAGGTATGGTTTGATTGTATTGAAAGCAATATTGTTTGTAAAACATATTCTTTGAATTAATTTTGGAAACATTTCGCATAAAAACTGTATGTCTTCGGCAATCATATCGTTGAAACTGCAATCAATTCGTCGCAATTTTGGTCAATAGTCAGCCGAAAACCGATAAATGGTTCGCAAAATTATTATCTGTCGCTTTCGAGTCCAATAGAGTTCAATGGTCTGGACATTGGGACACTTCTTCATCACTGATAACCACTTATTACTATCGAAATACTTTTTACGCGAAAGACTTAAAATATCCATTACTCTAATGTTAGTCCGGCGTTGAATACCCGACGACTGGAACTGTTTGGATACACACTCTAAACGCAACTGATCTTCAAGTGATAGATATGTTAGTATAAGTTCAGCCAAATCATCGCCGAACCGATCAAATGATGACTTATTATTGTTGTTCATCACAAGTGTTGATACCATTGTTGTTGTGATGGCTATTGAAACAAATGAAATGATAAGACAATCAATTAATAGACCGATTGTTATGTAAAAACAGTTTTATTTTAAAAAAATGATTAATACTTACAAATATAGCAATAATTTTATATATGAATAAAACACAACAAAAGTTTTATTGTTTTTCAAAAAAAATGAATAATATTTACAAATATATTGCAATAGATTTATAAATAAAATAAAAAAAAATAATTTTTTTTAAAATTTGTTTTGCAAATGTATTGTAAAGTAAACTGTATTTTTAATTCAATTGAATATATGAATCATTCAATCAATCAAACCGTACGATACATACAAACACATTGAAACACACAATCAGTTTGTGTTTTATTAATAATACTATATATTATATGATATATTAAATTAAAATGTTTTTCAAATTTAATGCAAATATTTTTGTTGTCAACTAATTGTTGTTTACTTTTACTTTTATTATCCATAGAAACCATACAAACAAACAAAACATATGTAGTAAAAAGTTTTTATTATTAAGTAAATTACAATTTTATATTAAAATTAATTCAACAAAAATTATATTATCATTATAGAAATAAATTATTTTTTTTAAATGATAATTAATATATTTTTATGTTACTTAATAATAATCAAATTTTATGGCGGCGGTTCGGAATATGGACTGGGTGAAAATAGGTGGGGGTGATACATTTTATAAAGTTTATAAGGTGTAAAGTATATATACAAAATTCCAATAGTCGGAAATCAATAATAAAGATTTTTTTATTCAAATAATTTTTTTATGTAATAGACCATAATGATAGATATAATGATAGACCTAACCTAACCTAACCTAACCTAACCTAACCTAACCTAACCTAACCTAACCTAACCTAACCTAACCTAACCTAACCTAACCTAACCTAACCTAACCTAACCTGACCTAACCTAACCTAACCTAAATTAACCTAATCATCGTACCTAGCGCGCTACCGCGCGCCATTCACTTAACCTAACCTAAACTAAACTAATCCTTATTTACATTGATATACTATACTATAATATATTATACTAAATGTTGTTGACCCTCTAATTTCTTAACCTTTCATTTCCGACTATTGACATTAATATATGTTATTCCCTACTATCTAATGGACTGTTCGGTATATGGACTGCGGCCTTCGGCCGCAGTCCATATACCGAACTCTAGCCAATTTTATTACAATACTATATAATAGGATAATAAAACATTAGTAACTTTACTGGTATACCAGTTTACTATAGTTTAGTAATTATTAATTAAAATATTTAAAATAAATTATTATTAACTATATATTTAATTATATATTTAATATAAACAATAATGTATATTATTTGTAGAAAAACAAATTAAATATAATTAAAAGCTATTATATATTATAAGTTTGACATTTAATTACTGTTATGTTGTCGTTGTTCTCAATGATTGTATTGTTATTTCATCATAACTTAAATCATCAGTTTTTTCATTATATATAATCAATTGTTTCAATTTTGGACACCCGTTGATCACTTGCAGCACATCCGACTCATTGATTAGTATATCATTTTTTGTATGAATAGATACTGTCGCTAATGTTTTCAGTTTTGATATAAATGACATACATGTCCAGTCAAATAGTTCAATCGGACAGTTAATATATAGTGATTGAAGTTTCGGTAGATTTCGGTTAAAATCGGTAAAAAATTGATAATCCAAATATGATAACCGAAGTTTCAAATGAATCAATTGTGGCCAACAGTTAACCGGTTTGAGTGTTGTATAGAGATTGCGATCAATTACTTGATTATTGTCGACGACTTTAATCAAAAGATTCAATCGTTTCAATTGTTTCATTAGTTTGACGGCATTGTATGTCTCCATATAATTGACCACTGAATCCACTTTCATATATAATTCAAATGACTTTAGTCGCCGACAACTGTTGGCAATTGTTATCAATGGTTCGGCTATCGAGAAGTTAATTGTTGCCAAAAATTTTAAGTCCAATCGTCGCAATCCTTGTAATCGCCAGATAAGTGATAGCATAGGTATAACAACAGTATCCGAAGCAATAGTGACCGATGAACGCAATCTAAGATCATTCAGATCACTGTTACCATCGATGAACGTATTGAATCGGTTATTCATATTATCGTGAAAACTGCTACTGAATAGACGTAACCGATTGACCACTAACTGGTCGCCGCCGATAAACGCATCGTCAACTCCCAGTGACCATAGTTTAGATAAGTTGGTCATCGATGACAGATATGGTTTCATTTTGTTGAATGTATTTGGTTTAGAAAAAAATACTTTTCTAATCATTTCGGGAAATGTTTGGCACAAAAACTCGATGTCTTCGGCAGTCATATCGTCAATATTGCAGTCAATTTGACGCAATTCTGGCCAATACTCGTCGGTAAGAAACTGATAAACTGTTTGCAAAATTATTGGCTGAAGTTTTCCCGTCCAACAGATTTCAATGGTCTGAACATTTGGACACTTCTTCATCAGTGATAACCACTTATTAGTGTCTAAATAGTTTTCGCCGGAAAGACTTTTGCTCATCATTTTCAACATTGGTATGTCTTTGGATGAGATGCGAGTCCGGCTCTGAATACCACACGACTGGAACTGTTTGGATACACACTCTAAACACAACTGATCTTCAAGTGATAGATATCTTAGGATAAGTTCCGTCAAATCATCGCCGAACCGATCAAATGAAGACTTATTATTGTTGTTTTTGTCCATCACTTGTGATAACATTGTTGTTGTGATCTCTCTCTCTCTCTCTCTCTCTCTCTCTTTAGATATATATTATATATAGTCCTATATATCTAAACTATGAAATGATAAGACAATCAATTGAATGGTTTGACCGGTTGTGGTATCAAACAAGTCATACTATTTCTTGTGTTTGAAAAAAAACTTTTAAAAAAATTTTTAACTAAAATTTTTTGTTTACAATAACTTTATGAAAACAAATGTCTGATTAAATTTTAATATTATATTATATAATACAAGTCATTATGTAATTTGTTGTTTCAATAATAATGTGTTGAAATATACTGTAATTGTATATTATATTTAGTGTGCAATACATTCAATAATGTTTTGTTGCAAATGTTTGTAATAAAAATCAAATAAAATTACATATAATTATAAACACATTATTTGTGTTTTAATAAAAAAAACTTTATTATTATTATGTCATTGCATTTCGTCACATATATGCAACAAATGTCAAAATATTATACAGTATTTTGGTTTAAAAAGTTATGAATGTTTTAATTTTTTTTTTGATAATTATTATACATTATATTAATTTTATTATTTTTGATGAAAACTACTATTTTATTTTATTTTTTAAAATAAGATTTTAAAATAATAATAATAATAATAAAGTTTTTTTATACATAAATCTTTTGACATTAATATAATTTTTTTTTAATATGACATAAATTTTTGTTTTGTTTATCATTTAATTATTTTTAGTTTTCATTTCTCATTGAATGAATTGAACTTTCATTGCCATAAAATATCTGTCTATTTTTAACATTAATTTTAATAAATTTCAATTTTCGGCAAACATTGACCATTTGGCGGATATCCCACTGACTGACGGATATCTCATTTTTTGTGATAACTGCTAGTCTTGTCAGTGATTTAAGTCTCGATAGGTATGACATAGATATGCTGTCATTATGTAATTTGTTGTTTCAATAATAATGTGTTGAAATATACTGTAATTGTATATTATATTTAGTGTGCAATAAATTCAAAATGTTTTGTTGCAAATGTTTGTAATAAAAATCAAATAATATTATATAATATTATAAACACATTATTTGTATTAATAAAAATAACATTATTATTATTATGTCATTGCATTTCGTCACATATATGCAACAAATTTCAAAATATTATATTTTGTTTAAAAAGTTACGAATGTTTTTTTTTAAATTTTGGGAACTATTTATACAGATATTTATGTGTTTTTTTTAATTCAATGCAATAAAAATACAAATAAATTTTTTATTAAAAAAAATATTTCTATAAATACTGTATAATACTATTATTGAAAAATTATATTTGTATAAAAAAAATAGTAGTATCAGAAAAATTTATTTTTAAATAATAATAATAAAGTTTTTTTATACATAAATCTTTTAGCATTAATAATATAATTTTTTTTAAATATAACAAATTATTGTTTTGTTTATCATTTTATTATTTAATAGTTTTTGTTTTAATTTCTCATTGAATGAATTGAACTTTCATTGCCATAAAATCTCTCTATATTTTTAACATTAATTTTAATAAATTTCAATTTACGGCAAACATTGGCCATTTGGTGGACATCCAACTGACTGATCGACACATCAATATTAGATACAACTGATAATCTCGTCAGTGATTTAAGTCTTGATATGTATGACATAGATATGCTGTCAAATATATCTGTTAGGTGTGAAATGTATAGACATTGAAGTTTCGGTAGGTTTCGGCCCAAATCGGTAAAAAATTGACAATCAATATAAGATAACCGAAGTATCAATTGACTTAATTGTGGCCAACAGTTAATCGGTTGTAACGATTTATAAAGTAATGGATTAATCGTTTCGTTGCTATTATTACGGTTGACATAATATATGCTTAAATACAATCGTTTCAATTGTTTCATATGTTTGACGGCAATGTATGTCTCCATATAAGTAGCCAATGAATCCACAGTTATATAGAATTTAAAAACCTTTAGTCGCCGACAACTGTTGGCAATTGTCATCAATGGCTGGGCTATCGAGTAGTCAACAGTTGAGACGAAGGCTAACTCCAATTGTTGCAGTCCTTGTAATCGCCGGCCGATAAGTGACAACACAGAGACAACAGTATTCGCGGTATCCGTAGAATTGACAAACAGCTGAAGACTTTTGAGATTACTGTTACCATCGATGAATGTCTTCAGTGGAGTCACCATATTGTCAGAAAAATGACAACTGAGTTGACTGAGTAAACCTTTGACCATCAGTTGATCGCCAATAAACAAGTCTTGTATTTTCCATATCCGTAGACTTTGAAGATTAGTCATCAATGAAATACAGGGTCTAATTGTATCATTAATTTCATATAAAAATAATTGTCTAATCATTTTGGGAAACATTTTGCACATAAATTTCATGTCTTTGTCAAGCATTTTGAAATTATTGCAATCAATTTGTCGCAGTTGTGGCCAAAGTTCACGAAACAGATGTATGGCTCTTATGAAGTGTTTTTGTTGATTTCCTGTCGACTGGATATCAAAGATCTGAACATTTGGACACTTCTTCATCAGTGACGACCAGTTTTTATTGTCGAAACATTCTTTGCCCGAAACACTACTTTTACTACAAAATCGTTTCTTTAAGTTATTAGATATTATTAGATGAGTCCGTAGATGAATACCACACGACTGGAACTGTTTGGATACACACTCTAAACACAACTGATCTTCAAGTGATAGATATCTTAGTATAAATGCCGTCAAATCATCGCCGAACCGATCAAAAGATGACTTATTATCGTTTGTGTCCATCATTTGTGTTGTGATTGCTATTAAACAATGAAATGATAAGACAATCAATTAATAGACCGATCGGTTGTGATGTCAAACAGTTTTTAAGTGTAAATATTTAGTTATAGTTATTGTGGTGTAAACTACTTACAGATATATCATTGAAATGTTTTATTTCAAAATTTAGTTCAACTAATTGTTTCAATCAATCAATGAATAACTGAATCAATCAAACCGTACGATACATACAAACATACAATTAGTTTATGTTTTGCAATGTATTTATGTTTTCAAATTCAATGTTTTATTTATTGTTTACAATGTTTCCATAGAAACAAACAAATTACTGTATTTCTATGAAATAAAGAAAATAAAGTTTTTAATTTAATTAATAAAATATTAACTAAATTAATAATAATAATAATAATAATAATAATAACCGTTTATATTAAGGTAATAATTAAAATCATATTATTTGTGTTTAAAAAAATAATATTATTATTATGTCATTGCATTTCATTAACAAATATGACCACAAAAAAATTTAATAATATTATGATAAGTTGTTTTAGTTACTAAAAATTATTAAACTTTTATCAAAAATAAGTTAATATATCAGATAATATAAATGTATTATAAATTATATATTAAACCCATTATGATATAAAAAACAGTTTTTAACTAATCTTTCAAATCACTTACAGTTTAAACTTCAAAGTATTGAATCAACCAATAGATAATAAATTAAATTAAAAATTTAACAGAATATGCAAATAAATGTTATAAAAATATTACTAATATTTGTAGTTTTTTTAATTTTTAAATTCAAATATAATATAAGCTACAAAATATTTCAGTATAAAAATTTCAAGTTTCAAAAAGTTTATAGAAAATAGTTTATTAGATAATAATACCTGTCTATGAAATATATATATATATTTAAAATAATGATTATATTTCTCATTGAATGAATTGAACTTTCATTGCAATTGAAAATATCTCTATCTTTAAAATTAATTATCAATTTTTTTAATTTGCGGCAAACATTGATCATTTGCTGGACTAACTGATCGTCAACTCATTTTCGGTTACCTTCATTAGCGTACAACTTATTATTTTTTTAAAAAAAATATTATTATATATTTATAATTTTTATAAAGGTTTAAAAAAAACTGTTTGTAATTGTAATTATAAGCCAGAAATAGAGTAAAATTTCAAACAATATTATTAGTTAGTGATTATCATTGATTAGTAGTTAACGACGACCTAACCTATTAACCAATACAATCAAATAAATGTTTGTCTTAAAGATAAATATGTTTCATAAATATTATTAAATTTTATATAAAGATATATTAATATATCTTATTTAAAGAAAAATAATTTATTATTATTTTTTAGATATTAATATTTCATATAATATATTATTTAATATAGATTTTTTTTTAATATAATAATAATTATTATCAGTATATTTAATGTTTTATGACAATATGTACAGTATATAGTTATACCAACAAAAAAAAATTAATTACAAATTATTGTTTATTTATTAATAAATTATTATTTTTTTGAGTTGTTTAAATTAAAATTGATTTTATTTATGTACTCATTATTTTAATAACTACTACTATATATACAAAATGTATTAAATTGTATTAGCTATAAAATAAAATTTAAAACCATTACTAATAAATACAATAATAATAATAAAATATAATCAAATCTAGTATTGCTAAATTTTGATTATATTTTATTTTATATTATAAAACATTATAATAAAAATAATTATTTTTAGTATTGTTAAAACTATTTAATAATTTTAAATAAAAATAATAATAATTACATTTTTATTAATTTATTAACATATAAAACATTAATTTATAACCATAGCAATTATATATTTAGAAAAAATACATTTAATAGGATAGAAATAATTAAAAATATTTTCATTTTCTATATAAATATTTTTATTAGAAATTAATTAATTATTTTGTCAAAATTATTTTCTTTTATTAAATACTTTACATGAAGTAAATAAGCATTTATGTGAAAAAATATAGTATTTTATAAAAATTATGAAATAAAATTATTTTATTGTAATAGAGATAAAATAAAATCGAGATTTATTCAGTTTTACAATAAATGTTCATAAATATTATAATAAAAATAATATCGTTAAATCATAGATAACAGTAAAAATAATAAATTATTATTAATAACCATGGTTAATAATTCTATTAAAAAAAATAATTTATATTACACTGTAGTTATATTTTATTATATATAAATCAGTTTAAGAAATTATACAGTATTTTGTTAGTTTAGTTATTTAATTATAGTAACTGTTTATTAATATTAATTTATTGTTATTAACTAATATTTAATTTTTTTTTTAAAAACCAAAATGTCATCAATAGATTTTTTAAACAAATTTCCAATGTCTACTAAGATATCGGAAAATTTAAAATTAAAAATTAAATTTTTTCATTATAAATTCAATAGTGTATGGTTTGTTACAAATGATGATCTAGTCTATACATTTGGTAATAATACTTACGGTAAACTTGGTTTGGGTCACAATCTGATTGTCAATAAACCTGAAATTATACCTGAATTATGTGCGAAAAATGTCCAAAAATTTATTAATGGCGATCGGTTTGCATTGTGTATAACATTTGACCAACAAATCTATAGTTTTGGTTCAAATGAATGCAAACAATTGGGTAGACATACCATCAGTAATGATAATAATAAACCGGCTATTATTACATACCTAAGCGATAAATGTATTATTGATATCAAATGTGGTTCATATCATTCACTGGCACTGAGCAGTGCGGGCACTGTCTACGGCTGGGGTCATAACAATAGAGGACAGTCGGGTTGCGGACAACAACAACAACAACAACAAACTTTGGATTGTATTGATAGTCCCACACGTATTATATTTACCGAAACTAATAATACTTTAATAAAATTTATCAATTGTTTCGATTGTTGTTCATTTGCCATAACATCGGATGGACTCGTTTACAGTTGGGGTTATAATAACGATTATCAATTAGGTCACATCAATGATAATTATATCCTGGATAAACCAAAATTAATTGATGAATTAATAGATATTAATTTAGTTATATATAGTATAATATATAAAAAATTGTCGTTAACTTATTTTCTAACAAATAACGGTCTAATATATCAATGCGGAAAACTAGACGATAGTTATTATAGAAAACCAACATTAATATTAAGTATCGATTCAGTGATTATCGATATGTGCGGTCCGTATGTTAAAAAACTTGATAATACTTATTATAAAATTATTTACGATAATAATAATAATAATAATAATAATTTTACATTAGAAAAATGTCAACAAAAATGTTTTATTGATTTGTTTGCCGACGATTATAATATAACAAAAGTAACCGTAGATATTGATAAATATTTATATCAATCGACTAATAAATTAAATTATTTTCAAAATAATTTTAAATTAATAGAACTGTTAGGTACGGGAGGTTTCGGTAGAGTTTATAAATGTTTGGATAATAAAAATGAAAAAATATTTGCCATTAAAGACATTATTATTACAAGTAAATAAAACTAATAATTTACTTATTTTATTAATTATATATATTTTTATAGTTATAATAATAAATATTTATTTATTTATTTATAAAAAAAAACTATTTTTCAGATGAAAGTCAAAAAATACATATTCTAGAAGAAGTCAAACAATTACAGAAACTTCAGTCAAAATTTGTGGTTAAATTTTATGATACATGGATTGAATCGAAAATACTTTACATTCAAATGGAGTTATTATCAAATAGTCTGAAAGATTTGATTGAATTGAAAGCAAAAACATTTCAACGAAAAACCAGTGAACCAATGGATTGTATCGAGTATTACATAACGAGTCATATAATGCTAGAGATGTGTGAATGCGTTGAATATCTGCATACAAGACAACCACCGGTTATTCATCGCGATCTCAAACCGGCAAATATACTCATCAATGATAAGCCATTAGATAATCGTTTCCTTAAACTGTGTGACTTTGGTTTGGCCACTGATCACAACCGTATGGGCTCTGAATCAGAACTTCACACCAAAAATGTCGGAACAGATAAATATATGGCACAAGAAGTTAGAGAATATAATGGTATCGATAGAGTGGCGTATAATGAGAAAAGTGATGTCTATAGTTTGGGTTGTATACTATTGGACTTATTTGATGTCAACAGTAATAATGATATGCAGTAATTATTATTAAATTTATTTTTAAAAAATAATTATTAATAATATTTTAATATTAATTTGTTTTTTTAAATTATTTAATTTATAGGTTAATGAATAAATTGTATGGTAATACTAATCTAAAGGTATATATTCATAATATATCAAAATTAATACTATCAATGATTTGCACATCATATTATGATAGACCTGAATGTACTGATATTATCAATGATAAACAACAATATATTAACAATGATTTAGTTGAAAATATTTCAATAAGTCAATTGTTATCTATAGATGATTTCAATGATAACAATAATATATTTAGACAAATATTTATGACTAAATATAGTCAATTAAAACAGTAAAATATATGTTTTACATTAAAACAGTAAAATATATGTTTTACATTAAAACAATTATTGTTGAAAAATAAAATTTTTTAAATTATATTTTTATTAGACTACAGATTAGATTAGATTAGAGAATTATATATATATAGGATTATAAGATAATTATTTAGTATACCATTAATATCATTGAAATATTTGATAGATTATTTGTAAACGGGTGTTATAGTAGTAAACACTAATTATTATGCAGTTATATATATAAAAATATTTTAATACTTTATAATACTGTATTATTATGTTATTTATATTATTTATTAAAATATAATAAGCTATATATAATTAAATATAAAATTTATATTTACCATGCTATTAATATTAAATTGAATATATTGGACAATACAGTATATTTATTTATATAATTTATTATATTGTTGATAACAATTTTATTATTATACAATTCAGAACAATTTATATTTCCAATGCTATAAATCAATGATAGCTATTAATACTAATGATAATATATTTAAACAAATATTTATTATTAAATTTAATCAATTGGAACAATAGTTATTTTTTTTAAAAAATAAATAATTTCTAAACATATTAGTAGTTTTATTTTATACAAGTTTTATATAATACAAAAAAAGGTATCTATTGGATAGTTGTTATACTTTTTAATAAAATACTGATCACAATCGTAATTACTATCATTCAGAACTTCAAACAAACAAATAATAATAATAATAAAGTACTTAATACCTGTCTATGAAATATATATATATTTTAAATAATGTTTATATTTCTCATTGAATGAATTGAACTTTCATTACAATTGAAAATATCTCTATCTTTAACATTAATTTTCAATTTTTTCAATTTGCGGCAAACATTGATCATTTGCTGGACATCCGACTGACTGATCGTTACCTCATTTTCGGTAACAACTGATAATCTCGTCAGCGAAACGAGTCTTGATATGTATGACATAGATATGCTGTCAAATATATCCGTCAATTGAGAAATGTATAGATATTGAAGTTTCGGTAGATTTCGGTTAAAATCAGTAAAGAATTGGCAATTAATATGTGATAACCGAAGTGTCAAATGAGTCAATTGTGGCCAACAGTTGACCGGTTGTAGCGATGAATAGATTAGTGGATCAATTGAATTGTTATTATTATTGACATAAAATATACTTAAATCTAATCGTTTCAATTGTTTCATGTGTTTGACAGCACTATATGTCTCCTTATAAGTTGCCAATGAATCCAAATTTATATATAATCTCAAAAGCTTTAGTCGCCGACAACTGTTGGCAATTGTAATCAATGACTGGGCTATCGAGTAGTTAACAGTTGTGAGGAATATTAATTCCAATTGTTGCAGTCCTTGTAATCGCTGACCGATAAGTGACAGCACAGCGAAAACAGTAGTCGCGGTAGCCGTAGAATTGATAAACAGTTTAAGATTTTTGAGATTACTGTTACCATCGATGAATATGTTAAGATGAGTGATCATATTTTGAGAAAAATGACAACTAAGAAAACGTAAATCTTTGACCATCAGTTGATCTTCAATAAACAAGACATCTATTTTCCCTATCCATAGTCTCTTAAGATTAGTCATCAACGAAATGGATGGTAAAGGAAGAACTATTTGATTAATATGACAGAAAAATAATTCTGTTATCATTTTGGGAAACATTTTGAACATAAATTTCATGTCTTTGTCAATCATTTCGTAATTATTGCAATCAATTTGTCGCAGTTGTGGCCAAAGTTTACGAAACAGATGTATGGCTATTATGAAGTGTTTTTTTTGTTTTCCTGTCGACTGGATATTAACGATCTGAACATTTGGACACTTCTTCATCAGCGACGACCAGTTTTTACTGTCAAAACATTCTTTGCCCAAAACACTACTTTTACTACAAAATCGTTGCTTTAAGTTATTAGATATTATTAGATGAGTCCGTAGATGAATACCACACGACTGGAACTGTTTGGAGACACACTCTAAACGCAACTGATCTTCAAGTGATAGATATGTTAGTATAAGTTCAGCCAAATCATCGCCAAACCGATCAAATGATGACTTATTATTGTCATTTGTGCCATCATTTGTGTTGTGATGGCTATTAAACAATGAAATGATAAGACAATCAATTAATAGACCGATCGGTTGTGATGTCAAACAGTTTTTAAGTGTAAATATTTAGTGATAGTTCTTGTGGTGTAAACTACTTACAGATATATCATTGAAATGTTTTTTTTTTCAAAATTTATTTCAACTAAATGTGTCAATCAATCAATGAATGGATGACTGAATCAATCAAACCGTACGATACATACAAACATACAATCAGTTTATGTTTTGCAATATATTTTGTTTTCAAATTTAAATTCAATGCTTTATTTAATGTTTACAATATTTCCATAGAAACCAAACAAATTATTTCTATTATTATGAAATAAATTAAATAAAGTTTTTTTTAATGATTAATAATAAGTTTTTATTACAATTTTTTTTAATTAATAAAATATAAACTAAATTAATAATAAGCTTTTATATTAAGGTAATAATTAAAATCACATTGTTTGTGTTTAAAACAAATTATATTATTAATAGTATTATGTCATTGCATTTAGTCAGCAAATATGACTACAAAAAAAAGTTTTAATAATATTATGATAAGTTATTTTAGTTACTAAAAGTTATTAAACTTTTATCAAAAATAAAATACTTGTAAATGTTTATAATAATAAATAACTTAATAATTATTGGAGAGATTTATTAACAAGTTATTTAAATAATGTAATTATTAATAAAAAAATAAGAATTAAATAGTAATAAGTTATATAAAAATATAAGTAATTTGTTTAACAATTTAGGTATTAATTATTACTTAAAAGATTAAAATCAATTGAATTTGTCATATAATTAGTTAAGTTGTTATCCTCTCAATGAATGTATTGTTTTTTCATCGTATATCAAGTTATCGGCATTTTTATTATTTAAATATATAAAAAAAATATTCAATTTGCGGCAAACTTTGACCATTTGGCGGACATCCGACTGACTGATCGACACATCATTATTAGATACAACTGATAATTTCGTCAGTGATTTGAGTTCAGACAGATATGACATATAAATGCTGTTAAATACATCTGACAATTGAGAAATGTATAGATTTTGAAGTTTCGGTAGATTTCGGTTTAAATCAATAAAGAATTGACAATTAATATGTGATAACTTGAGTGTCAAATGAGTCAATTGTGGCCAACAGTTGACCGGTTGTAGCGATGTATAGACTCTCGGATCAATAATAAAATCATTATTATTATCATTGTTTGTATAATTGATTTTTAAATCCAATTGTTTCAATCCTTTCATATGTTTGACAGCACTGTATGTCTTCATATAAGCGTCCAATGAATTGACTCTTAGATTTAATTTAAAAACCTTTAGTCGCCGACAATTGTTGGCAATTGTTATCAATGACTGGGCTATCGAGTAGTTAACAGTTGAGATAAAAAATTCAAACTCCAATCGTTGCAGTCCTTGTAATCTCCCGATTAGTGACAGCACAGGGACCACAGTGGTGGCAGTATCTGTAGAATTGAAAATCAATTGAAGAAATGCGAGATCACTGTTACCATCGATGAATGTCTTGAAAGGGTTAACCATATTGTCTGAAAAATGACAATAGAATTCACGTAATCCTTTGACCATTAATTGGTTGTCTATAAAGATGTCGTCTATTTCGGAGAGCCATATACTCTGAAGATTAGTCATCACTGAAATGTATGATTTAATTATTGTGCTTTCATTATAATATTTATCAAAATAAAATAATTCAGTTATCATTTTGGGAAACATTTTGCATATGAATTTGATGTCTTTTTTGGACATTTTATAAATATTGCAATCAATTTGTCGCAATTGTGGCCAAAGTGTACGAAACCGATGTATGGCTCGTATGAAATGTTTTTGTCGTATTCCTGTCGACAGGATATCAACGGTACGAACATTTGGACACTTCTTCATCAGTGACGACCAGTTTTTATAATTCATGTACTTTTTGGACAAAAATTTTCTCTCAATTTTCAATTGAAATTCTATATCGTCTGTGATTTCTATGCGAGTCCGGCATTGAATACCCGACGACTGGAACTGTTTGGATACACACTCTAAACACAACTGATCTTCAAGTGATAGATATGTTAGTATAACTTCAGCCAAATCATCGCCGAACCGATCAAATGATGACTTATTAATGTTTTTATCTATTTCTTGTCCATTCATTGTTGTTGTTGTAGTGATGAATGTTTTAAAACAAATGATAAAATAATTTAATTATTAAATAAGTTTTTTCTTATTTAAAAAAAAAGTTTTTTTGTTGTGAAAAATAACTTACAATTATTGTCTTAACGAAACAAATGTCTGTAAAATAAATGTTTTATTTAAATATTACTGTATTATATTACTTATGATTCATAAGTTAGGAATTGGAAACTGTAGTATTATATGTGTTATGAATCAGGGGTTTTAAAAATGGCAGGCATAAACAATAGATGCCAATTTTGTCAAATGCCCGCCCTGCCTCTGCCATGCCCTGGGCATCTATTTTCAGGTGGTGATACCTATTATTTTAATTATATATCATTAATTAATTAAAAAAACATTGTTTTATTTCTATATTTGTTTGGTATACCTATAATTATACTGTAATCTAAGTAGAATTAAGTCCATTAATTATATATTTAATTTACACGATAAAAAAACTAAATTACGTTATTTGTATAAATACAGTAACTTTTTAGCAATTAAAATAGATTCCCAAAATGCCAGGCATTTATGGCATCTATTTTGGCATTGCCAGGGCAGGCATTTATTTACTAAAAACCTAAGATATAAAATATAAAATATAATATAACATATAATATACAAATATATAACTATTTTTAAATCATATAAAATCTAAAATTACATAAAATACATTTCATTTTAATAAATAATTTTATAACATCATAGTTTAAGTTAAAAAATTTTATTTAAATTAAATAAATAAGATAATTACCGGTAATTATATAAATATAATTATAATTATTAAAATAAACTTAATAATTATTAGATATTTATTAACAAGTTATTTAAAAAATGTAATTATTAATAAAAAAAATAAGAAATAAATAGTAATATGCTATATAAAAATATAAGTGATTTGTATAACAATTTAGTTATTAATTATAACTTAAAAGACTAAAATCTATTGAATTTGTCATATAATTAGTTTAGTTGTTATCCTCTCAATAAATGTATTGTTTTTTCATCGTAACTCAAGTCAACAACTTTTTCATTATTTAAATATATAAACAATTTATTCAATTTGCGGCAAACGTTGACCATTTGGCGGACATCCGACTGATTGATAGAGAAATCATTTTTAGTGACAACTGATAATCTCATCAGTGATTTGAGTTCAGACAGATATGACATATATATGCTGTCAAATACATCTGACAATTGAGAAATGTATAGATTTTGAAGTTTCGGTAGATTTCGGTGTAGACCAGTAAAGAATTGGCAATTAATATGTGATAACCGAAGTGTCAAATGTGTCAATTGTGGCCAACAGTTGACCGGTTGTAGGGATGCATAGACTGTCGGATCAATAACAACATCATTATTATCATTGTTGGTATAATAGATATTTAAATCCAATCGTTTCAATTGTTTCATGTGTTTGATGGCACTGTATGTCTCTATATAAGCGGCCAATGAATCCACTCTTAGATGTAATTTTAAAACTTTTAGTCGCCGACAACTGTTGGCAATTGAAATCAATGGCTTGACTATCGAGTAGTTAACAGTTGATATAAATGCTAACTCCAAGCGTTGCAATCCTTGTAATCGCCCGATAAGTGACAGGACATCGACAATAGTAGTCGAGGTATCCGTAGAATTGCTAAGCAATTTAATACTTGTTAGACCACTGTTACCGTCGATGAATGTCTTGAAATGAGTCAACATAGTATCAGAACAATTACAGCTGAGTTGACGTAAATCTTTGACCATCAGCTGATCACCGATAAAGATGTCGTCTATTTTGTTGATCCATAGTCTCTGAAGATTAGTCATCGATGAGATAAACGGTTTAATTAGATTTATTTGATTGATTTCGCAGAAAAATAATTGTGTTATCATTTTGGGAAACATTTTGCACATGAATTTGATATCTTTTTTGGACATTTCAAATATATTGCAATCAATTTGTCGCAGTTGTGGCCAATGTCTACGAAACAGATGTATGGCTCGTATGAAATGTTTTTGTCGTATACCTGTCGACAGGATATCAACTGAACGAACATTTGGACACTTCTTCATCAGCGACGACCAGTTTTTGGTGTTTAAGTATTTTTTAGTCAAAAATTTTCTCTCAATTTTCAGTTTCATTTTAATATCGTAAGTGACTATTATGTGAGTCCTGTGTTGAATACCACACGACTGGAACTGTTTGGATACACACTCTAAACGTAACTGATCTTCAAGTGATTGATATCTTAGTATAAGTTCTGCCAAATCATCGCCAAAGCGATCAAATGATGACTTATTATTGTTAACCATCTCTTGTTGTGATCGCTATATAAACAATGAAATGATAAGACAATCAATTAATAGACCGGTTGTGATGTCAAACAGTTTTTAACTGTAAATATTTTGTGATAGTTCTTGTGGTATAAAATACTTACAGATATATAACAATTAAATGTTTTGTCAAAATTTAGTTCAACTGAATGTATGAACCATTATGTATGACTTTTTATTGTTTGTGTCCATCACTTCACAAGTTATACTATAGTTGTTGTTGTGATGGCTATTGAAACAAATGAAATAATAATACAATTAATTAATTAATAGATCGGTTGGTTGTTGTCTCACAACAAGTGATACACTATTTCTTATTGTAAATCACTTACTGTTTGTAAATATGATAATAATTTTATTAATCAATGTTTTTATTAAACAATAACTTAACTAAACATATGTCGGAAAATAACTGATTATATAATAGTATTATTGATTACAATCAAAAATACAAATCATTTAAAGTATAAATTATTTATATGTTCAATAATAATGTGTTTGAATATATATGAGTGCAATATATTGCAAACTTATTACAAGTATTGTAACAAATATCAAAATATTTATATACAGTTATTTAGTTGTAATTATTAATACATTATTTGTGTTTTAAATAATAATAATAATTATTATTATTATGTCATTGCATTTCGTCAATAGATATGTTATATAATATTGTTTAATAAAAATAATATTATATAACCAAAAAAGGGTATTTAATAAAAACTTTTTTTTTGTTGAATAAATTATTAGAAATTTTTTTTAGTAATGCTTACAAAATTCTCTATATTTTTGTTGACTAACCGGCAAAACATTTGACGACATTTACTGTTTTGCCGGTTAGACAACAATTTAAATATATAGAGAGGAAATTGCAATCAATAGTCAATTTTTTTATAATTTATTTTAATTAAAGTTATGATAAATTGTTTTAAGTGACTAAAAAGTTTATATATATATATATATATATATAAATATAAATTATATAACTTATTATTACTTATTATAATTATATAAATTATATATAAGTTATTTATATATTGTACTGTATATACTATAAAAATAAATAATACTGTAATTATATCACTATTTATTTAATAAATTTTCTTTGAAAATACAATTCAATAATAAAATTGTAATCATTATTATAAATAAAATCATCTCAAAAGTCTTGAAATAAATAACATACAGATCATTCAGTCTATTAAGTTATATCTAACTGATGGTCAATACAGTAAGCGATTGTAGTTTCGGATAGATTTCTGTACAAATCATCACCGAAAGGATCAAATTATCATTTATTGGTCATCAGTAGTGATACAATTGGCGTCGTTTGTGTTGTTTATAATGAAAATATAAAACTAGATCTCAGTTATTATTTTTTAATTAAATAGCTATTTAAAAAAATCCTGTTTGAAAAAAATCACATTTACTTATTATACATATTATATTGTAAAAAATTATGATAGATATTCAAAATTAAATTTATTTATTATACAGCTATTAGTATATATTGTAAAAAATGCTATATTTCAAGTGTTATAAATATTTATTATAACTTATAATTTTATAACACTAATAATAATAATTAAGTATTATAAGTAATCATTTAGTAGTTGTCCTCTCATTTGATGAATTATATTTTCTTTTAAAGAAAACTTATTATTATTTTTGAGACTAAACGGTATGACATTAATACAGATTAACTTCAATTTGAGACAACCGTTGATCAGTTGATCCACTTCTGACTGATTTATTGACTCATGATTTTTCGTATTAATTCTTAATGTTATCAATGATTTCAGTTTTGATATGAATTCAATACATAAGTCGTCGATTACACCCAACCGGTCATCAATGTATAGATACTGAAGTTTCGGTAGATTTCGGTCTAAATCCATGAAGAATTGCCGGTCATAATGTGATAAATTGAATGTTAAATGAGTCAATTGTGGCCAACAGTTAACCGGTTTGAGTGATGCATACGCTGTCGGATCAATTAAATCGTCGTTAAATTTATAATTATTTTTGTTGATAAAAAAAACTCTTAGATCCAATCGTCTCAAATGTTTCATCAGTTTCATAGCATTGTATGTATCCATATATGTGTCCAAACAATCGGCTTTTAATTCAATCTTCAATGACTTTAGTCGGCGACAACTGTTGGCAATTATCACCAATGAGTTGGCTATCGAATAGCAGTTTCTGAAATCAAATCTAAAGTCCAATTGTTCCAGATTTTCAAATCTACCGATAAGTGACAGCAAAGACAGAATAGTAGTCGAATCGGTTAACTTGATATACAGTCTAAGATCTTTGAGATGACTGTTGCCGTCGATGAATATTTTGAGTCGGTTTAGTTTGTCTTGAGTTAACTGATTATCCAATCGATACTCGAAAGTCAATCGACGCAAATCTTTGACCACCAATTGGTCGCCGCTAAACGTGTCGTCTATTTCGCGTATCGATGATAGCTCTCGGAGTGCAGTCATTGATGAAAAATATGGTTTCAATAACTCTATTTGTGTGGACATAAAGAGACCAATTTTACTAATCATTTGGGGAAACGTTTTGCACAAATAGTTGATGTCTTTGTCGGCCATATTGCCAACAGTGCAGTCAATTTCCCGCAGATGTGGCCAATGTGTACGAAATCGTTGAATGGCTTTTATAAACTGTATTTCTCGGCGACCAAAGTCATCGATACAAACGATACGAACATTTGGACTTCTCTTCATAATTGACGACCAGTTTTTAGGTTCAAAGTAACCTCTGGCCGAAAATTTCTTAACTCTTAGTTTGAGTTTTAGATTGTAATCGACATTTATGTTAGTCCGGCGTTGAATACCACACGACTGGATCTGTTTGGATACACACTCTAAACGCAACTGATCTTCAAGTGATAGATATCTCAGTATAAGTGCCGCCAAATCATCGCCGAACCGATCAAATGACGACTTGTTATTGTTGGCCATCACTTGTTGTGATCGCTATAAACAATGAAATGATAAGACAATCAATTAATAGACCGATTGTTATGTAAAAACAGTTTTATTTAAAATAAATATTTAGTTAATACTATTCTTTTGGTATAAAATACTTACAGATATATAACAATCAAATGTTTTGTCAAATCTATAGTTCAACTGAATGTATGAACCATTCAATCAAATGACTGAATCAATCAAACCGTACGATACATACAAAACATACAATTAGTTTATGTTTTGCAATATATTTATGTTTTCAAATTCAATGCTTTATTTAAAATGTTTACAATGTTTCCATAGAAACCAAACAAATATATTTATTTTTATGCAATAAATTTTTAAAAAATAACAGTTTTATAACATTTATTAATAAGTTTTTATTATACATTTTTATAACTAATTAAATATTTAAAAAATAAAAATATAAAAAAATATTTAAAACAATATTCAGAAATAAAATAATTTTTATTATTTCAATTTAGTATTTTTTATTACTGTATAAACAATTAATAGAAATATATTTCAATTTAAGGCACCGGTTGTTAATAATTTTTTTTTATATCAATGTAATCATTAATAATAATAATTTTATAAATTAATTAAATTACTTTATAATAACAATTAACGGAAATGTTTTATTTTCAAGTATTATTACAATCCTTTTAGTTGTTCCTCTCATTAAATGTAATGAATATTCATTATAATAGACCCTATTATTACCGGTAAGACTAAACGGTATGGATTTAATACAAATTAACTTTTAATTTGATGCAACCGTTGATTACTTGATCCATATCTAACTATTTGATAATTAATATTATATTTTTCGTTTGACAAAAAACCCATTTAAATTCAATCGTTTTAATTGTTTTATATTTTTGATGGCACTGTATATTTCATTATATGAAACCAATGAATCCGAAATTAATCGTAACTTAAATGACTTTAGTCGCCGACAACTGTTGCCAATTGTCATCAATGGCTGGGCTATTGAATAGCATAAATGAAAACTCAACTCCAATTGTTCCAGTTCTTCAAATCTACAGATAAGTGACAGCACATCGACACTAGTAGTGTAATCCATTGAAGTGAAATAAAGTTTAAGACTTTTCAGATGACTATTACCATCGATGAATGTCTTGAGTCGTTTGAGATGGTCTCGAGTCCACGTATTGTCCAAATGATCGCAACTAAATCGATGCAAACCTTTGACCACCAATTGGTCGCCGATAAACACGTTATCTATTTGGCTGATCGATGATAGCTCTCGAAGTATAGTCATTGATGAGAAATATGGTTTTATAATATCTATTTGATCGTAGATATAGATAATAACTTTGTTAATCATTTTGGGAAACATTTTGCACACAAATTCAATGTTTTTGTCGCTAAAATTGCCAATCGTGCAGTCAATTTGCCGCAATAGTGGCCAATGTGTACGAAACCGATGTATGGCTCTTATAAACTGTATCTCTCGCTTATCAAACGTATCGATATTAATGGTACGAACATTGGGAGTCCTTTTCATAAGTGACGACCAGTTTTTAGGTTCAAAGCAACCTCTGGCCGAAAATGTCTTAACTATTAGTTTCTGTTTTAGATCGAAATCTACTATTATGTGAGTCCTGAGTTGAATACCCGACGACTGGAACTGTTTGGATACACACTCTAAACGCAACTGATCTTCAAGTGATAGATATCTTAGTATAAGTGCCGACAAATCATCGCCGAACCGATCAAATGATGACTTATTATTGTTTGTGTCCATCACTTGTGTTGCTATCGATAAAAACAAATGAAATGATAAGACAATCAATTAATAGACCGATTGTGAAGTCAAACAGTTTTTAATTGTAATTATTTAGTGATAGTTCTTGTGGTGTAAACTACTTACAGATATATCATTGAAGTATTTTTTCAAAATATAGTTCAACTAAATGTGTCAATCAATCAATCAAATGACTGAATCAATCAAACCGTACGATACATACAAACATACAATCAGTTTATGTTTCGCAATGTATTTATGTTTTCAAATTCAATGCTTTATTTAAAATGTTTACAATGTTTCCATAGAAACTAAACAAAATATGTCTATTATTATGCAATAAATTTTAAGTTTTAAAAAAAGTTTTATAACAATTATTAATAAGTTTTTATTATACTTTTTTAAAGAACTATTATATTTAAAACAATAATCATTTATCAAATAATTTTTTTTATTTCAATTATTTAGTTGTCTTATCTATGAATGTATTGATTTCTCATTATTGTAGAAACAATTAATTATATAAATATTTTTCATTTTAAAGCATATGTTGTTAATAATTTTTATATCAATATTATGAATTAAAAAAAATTATTTTATAATAACAATTTGCGGTAATATTTTTATTTCAAATATTATTACAATCATGTTGTCCATCAATCGACTATTATGTGAGTCCGGCGTTGAATACCCGACGACTGGAACTGTTTGGATACACACTCTAATCGTAACTGATCTTCAAGTGATAGATATGACAATACAAGTGCCGCCAAATCATCGCCAAACCGATCAAATAAAGACTTATTATTGTTTTTGTCCATCATTTGTGTTGCAATCGCTATAAACAATGAAATGATAAGACAATCAATTAATAAACCGATTTTTATGTCAAACAGTTTTAGTTATAACTGTAATTAAGACAAACATTTTAGTGATAATATTCTTGTGGTATAAAATACTTACAGATATATAACAATCAAATGTTTTGTCAAAATTTAGTTCAACTAAATGTGTCAATCAATCAATCAATCAAATGACTGAATCAATCAAACCGTACGTTACATACAAAACATACAATTAGTTTGTATTTTGCAATATATTTATGTTTTAAAATTCAATACTTTTTATAATGTTTTATAATATTTTATTTATATTTACTTTGGTTTCCATGGAAATCAAAGAACTATTATTTCAATTATGCAATGATTTTTTAAAATAGTTTTATTAAAAATTTACTTAAGAGTACAATATATATATATAAGTGTACTATAAATAAATAATTATTATAATATCATTGAAAATCTGTCAATGAATTTATTTTATGATAATTATAATAATTTTTTTTCAATTATTATTACAATCCTTTTAGTTGTTCTCTCATTAAATATATTGAATTCTCATTATAATAGACTCGACGGCTAAGACTATACGGTATGGCATTAATTTTAATTGACTTCAATTTGAGACATCCGTTGATCACTTGATCCACATCTGACTTATTGATCGATTTATAATTAATGGTATTAATCGTTAATGTCATCAATGATATAAGTCTTGATATGAATGACAGACATATGACATCGATTACACCGAACCGGTCATCAATGTATAGATACTGAAGTTTCGGTAGATTTCGGTCTAAATTCATGAAGAATTGCCGGTCATAATGTGATAAATTGAATGTTAAATGAGTCAATTGTGGCCAACAGTTAATCGGTTTGAGTGATGCATAGACTGTCGGATCAATTAAATCGTCGTTAAATTTATAATTATTTTTTTTGATATAAAAAACTTTTAGATCCAATCGTTTCAAATGTTTCATCAGTTTAATGGCATTGTATATATCCATATATGTGGCAAAACGATCGACTTTTAATTCTAACTTCAATGACTTTAGTAGCCGACAACTGTTGGCAATTATCACCAATGAGTTGGCTATTGAATAGCAGTTTCTGAAATCAAATATAATTTCCAATTGTTCCAGTTTTTCAAATCTACCCATAAATGACACCATAGCGACACTAGTAGTGTAATCCATTGAAGAGAAATGTAGTTTAAGATGTTTGAGATAACTGTTGCCATCGATGAATGTCTTGAGTCGTATGAGATGGTCTCGAGTCCACGTATTGACTAAATGATAGATATCCAATCGATGCAAACCTTTAACTACCAATTGGTCGCCGATAAACATATCGTCTATTTGGCAGATCGGTGATAGCTCTCTGATTGTAGTCATTGATGATAAATATGGTTTTATTATATCCATTTGATTGTACTTAACGATAATCATTTTGTTAATCATTTTGGGAAACGTTTTGCATAAGAATTCAATGTCTTTGTCTTTATAATTGTCAAACATGCAGTCAATTTGCCGCAATAGTGGCCAATGTGTACGAAACCGATGTATGGCTTTTATAAACTGTATCTCTCGGTGACCGGATATAATCGTATCGATACAAATGGTGCAAACATTTGGACTTCTCTTCATAAGTGACGACCAGTTTTCAGTGTCGAAGTAACCTCTGATCGAAAATGTCTTAACTATTAGTTTCTGATTTAGATAGTAATCGACTATTATGTGAGTCCGGAGTTGAATACCCGACGACTGGAACTGTTTGGATACACACTCTAAACGCAACTGATCTTCAAGTGATAGATATCTTAGGATAAGTTCAGCCAAATCATCGCCAAACCGATCAAATGATGACTTATTATTATAGTTTGTGTCCATCACTTGTGTTGTGATTGCTATTGAAACAAATGAAATGATAAGACAATCAATTAATAGACCGATCGGTTGTGATGTCAAACAGTTTTTAAGTGTAAATATTTAGTGATAGTTCTTGTGGTGTAAACTACTTACAGATATATCATTGAAATGTTTTGTCAAAATTTACTTCAACTGAATGTATGAACCATTCAATCAAATGACTGAATCAATCAAACCTTACGATTAGTTTATGTTTTGCTATTTATTTATGTTTTCAAATTCAATGCTTTTTATGTTTTGCAATATTTATATTTACTTTGGTTTCCATGGAAATCAAATAACTTATTTCAATTAAATTTATGCAATGATTTTTTTTTAAAATTAAAAGTTTTACTAAACACTTTTAAAACAATTTTTTTAATTAAAAAAAATTAATATAAAATATTATTACAATTACATTTAGTTGTTATCTTAATGAATGTATTGATTTCTACAATATTTTTGAAAACAATAAACACAAACATACATCCAATTTAAGGCAACCGTTTTTATTAATTTTTATATCAATCAGTATTACCGGTAATATTAACTGATCTTCAAATGGCAAATATGTTAGTATAAGTTCAGACAAATCATCGCCAAACCGATCAAATGATGACTTAATATTGTTTGTGTCCATCATTTCAAATGATACTTATTGTTGTTGTTGTTGTTGTGATGGCTATTGAAACAAATGAAATGATAAGACAATCAATTAATAGACGGATTGTTATGTCAAACAGTTTTAGTTAACTGTAAATATGATAAGTATTTTAGTGATTAACTATTCTTGTGGTATAAACTACTTACAGATACACAGCAAGAAAAAAGTGATGCATTTATTCAGTTTTATGCCATTTCTTATACACTTTTTTTTAATATTAAAATATAAAATTTATTATTTATTATTTTATTAATATAGAAAAAGTCTATACAAATATCAGCACTTTTTTATATAATAATAAAATGCATACATATATCTAACAACTTTAATAACTTTTTAATAATTTGTATAATAGACTAATTAGATTTATAATATAATTACAGTATATATTTATCGATGTTTTAATGTAATTGATTATCTTAAATAAAGATTAATTAATTTTAATATAAAAATATAGTTAATAAGTCAATAAAATTATTTTGAATTTAAATTTATTATTATTATCAATTAATATAAACTATGGTTAATTTTAGCAACAATTACTATTATAAATAATTATTTTATTAATTTACCATTATTAGTTTTTTTATAATTTATAATTAAAAGTGTTAAGTCATATTTACTTATGAATTACTCAATAAATATTTAACTGTATATTTTAAAAATTATTAATATAATATAAAAAAATTATTATTATAATATAAAATGAAATTGCAGATATTATTTTTATAAAAACAATATTATATAAAGAAACTAATATAAACAATAAAATTCAAACATTGTTTTATTATTAAATAATTAGAAAATTAATTAAAAAATCATAATATAATTAGTAATGTTTATTTAATTTAGTCATATTTAATAATATATTCTATTAAGTAGTTATAAAAAATAGATGACTTGAGATATTTTAAGAAAATAATATAAATTTAAATATTATTAAATTATATATTTTTTTAAAAACAAAATTACGATAAATTGTAAAACAATGAATAGTATAACAATAATATTTAATAACACACAGTAATTGCAATTGAATTATAGTCTTATTAATACATAAGTAAATATCAATATATATTTATAAATTCATAGTAAAGTACTTTAAGTTGATGTTTCATAATAATAAAAATAATAAATAAATTTAATACTAATTTAATAAAAACTTAAATTAAAGACTATTTGCTGACTACTGTATGTTTTTTTTATTAATATATATATATTTTTACATTTTTTCATTTAAATAAATTCAAAATTCTATGTTAATAATGAAATTTAATATTTTGTCATATAAAAGATTTTTGTAATTTATATATATTTTTTTATTTCATTTACAATATATAAATCTATAATAAACAAAACAAAAAAGTTATATAAAATATCGTTTTGCTCACATTTAACCATGATAAGTTAATTATTTATAGTTAGGCGTGGTTCACATATTACATTTGCACTTTTAAGAAATTTAGATCCCCTCCCTCCCCTATGTTTGCATGTAGTCATTTAAAAAATACGTTCGCTTATCCCTAACCGCTACCCCCCCTACCACAAGAAATAAGATATTATCTAAATGCGAACGTTCTTAAAGTCTCTAACCCTCCCCCTCGTTCGCAAAAGTTCGCTTTGGCTAACCCCCCCTCCCCTCAAGTGCGAACGTAATATGTGAACCACGTCTTATTAGATATGGTTTATATTTAATTGCGATCTTTCACGATATATTTAATACTTTAGTATAAGCCATACAATATTATTATTATAATAATTAATTAATTAATAATAAAACCTGTCTTTTGATTTATTGTTAATTTAAAAACATATGTATTGATCAAAATAATTAATTAATAGTAAAGTTTATTAAAAAATTATACTTTTTTAAAAATTATTTTATCAATAAAAGTATATAAATACAAGTTTACAATATTTGTAATTCATTCAGAAAAATATATTTTATTACAAAAATAATAATCTATAAAATCTATAAAATTAAAATTATTACAAATTATTATAAACAATGAATTCCTATAAAACTCTTATATTTTTGTTTGTCTGTATCACTATTGGTAAGTAATATCACATTAATTTATATTATTATTGAGAAAAAAAGTTTATAATTTGTTTTGAAAATCTTTAAATTATTATTTTTTTTGATTCATTAGTTATCTGTAATGAAGATATCAATAGTCAGATCCAGTGCATGAAAAGTGCGGATCAGGCGCTCAATGGAAAGTCAGATAAACAACTGTTTGATTTGAGTCAAGAAAATCTGGAAATCGGTCAACAATTGGTTGAGAAAAGAGCCGAAATTGCCAACAATGCCGGACTCACGTGTTATAAACAGTTTTACGATAATTATGTCAAAGGATTGATCCAAATCTTTAAGGACGACAATGAAGTCCAACTACTGAACACCGCTTCCACACAACAGATCAGATCGGATGCCATCAAAACTATTGCCGGTATAACACAAGCCATGAGATGCGATGAGGACTGGAGAGCCAGCGGACAGTTCAACCAAACAGTCAAATCGGCCGACTGTTCGTCGATAGAAAAGATGACATTTTTGGCCACAGATTTGTTTAGCTTTCGGCCCAAACTTGAGTTACTGTTATCGGGTATCAGCACCGGTAGTTTTGCTACTAAACTGAAAAATAATGTCGTTTCACAACTATTTGGAAAAGTAAGTGATTTTTTCATTTTTCTAACAAATTTTTAATTAAATTTATGAATTCAACAGATTTCTAAACTATACCGTACTCTATATAACGACGCCGATCGGTGCGCCCGAAGTCAACCAACACTGGCCGACAAATGTCGTCAATTGAAAATGTTTTCCATGGAATTGGACCGACTCTACCAATTGGGTGGATTAAAGGTGGCCTCTAGTCTACCGTTTCTCAATTAACAATCATTTATTTAACAAATCTTTATTAAAAAAAAAATAATGGATTAACTTAATTGAAAGTTTTGATTCAAATTATTAATATTGAAATTTTAAATGTTTATCATTTAATTCTAAATATGTTTAAACTATATTTCAAATAAAAAATAAATAAATAATGCATTTTAAAAATTATTTAAACTTAGTTGTTATCTCATTGTGAATGTATTGATTTATCATTACTTTTGAAAATCATAAATACAAATATTACTTCAAATATAATGTATCCGTTGTTATTAATTTTTATATCAATATTAATAAAAAATTTTATTAATCAAAAAAAAATTTTATATTAATAATAATCAAATGTTTTTTTTTCAAGTATTATTACAATCCTTTAATAGTTGTTTTCTCATTAAATATATTGAATTCTCATTATAATAGACACTATTATTATAGCTAAGACTAAACGGTATGGAATTAATACTAATTGACTTCAATTTCAGACAACTGTTCATCACTTGATTCACATCTGACTTATTGATTGACTTATAATTTTTGGTATCAATCGTTAATGTCATCAATGATTTCAGTCTTGATATGAATGACAGACATAAGCCATCGATTATATCGAACGAGTCATCAATGTATAGACATTGAAGTTTCGGTAGATTTCGGTGTATATCCCAAAACAAATGTCGATTATAAAGACTTAATCTTAGACTCAAATGAGTCAAATGTGGCCAACAGTTGATCAGTTCGAGTGATTCAGACAGTGACGGATCAACCATATGGTCGTTCAATTGATTAATGACATAAAATCCATTTAAATCCAATCTTTTCAATTGTTTCATGTGTTTGATGGCATTGAATATATTTTTATATGAGACCAAAGAATCGGCTTTTAATTCTAACTTCAATGACTTTAGTCGCCGACAACTGTTGGCAATTGTCAACAATGGCTCGGCTATGGAAAAGTGGTAAAATAAATCAAATCTTATGCCCAATTGTTCCAGTTCTTCAAATCTACCGATAAGTGACAGCACAGATACACACGTATTGTAGTCCATTGAAGTGAAATGTAGTTTAAGACGTTTCAGATAACTGTTGCCATCAATGAATGTCTCGAGTCGTTTAAGATGGTCTCGAGTCCACGTATTGTCCAATCGATCGCAACTCAAACGATGCAAACCTTTGACCACCAATTGGTCGCCGATAAACGTGTCGTCTATATTGCGGATCGATGATAGCTCTCGGAGTGCAGTCATTGATGATAAATATGGTTTAATTATATCTATTTGATCGAACAAATAGATAATCATTTTGTTAATCATTTTGGTAAACCTTTTGCACACAAATTCAATGTCTTTGTCGGTATAATTATCAATCGTGCAGTCAATTTGCCGCAATAGTGGCCAATGTCTACGAAACCGATGTATGGCTTCTATTAATTGTATATCTCGGTAACCGGATGTACTCGTATTGATACCAATGGTCCGAACATTTGGACTTCTCTTCATAAGTGACGACCAGTTTTCAGTGTCGAAGTAACCACTGGTCGAAAATGGCTTAACTCTTAGTTTCTGATTCAGATTGAAACCGAATATTATATGAGTTCGGCGTTGAATACCCAACGACTGGAACTGTTTGGATACACACTCTAAACGCAACTGATCTTCAAGTGATAGATATCTTAGTATAAGATCCGCCAAATCATCGCCAAACCGATCAAATGAAGACTTATTATTGTTTTTGTCCATCTCTTGTTGTGATCGCTATAAACAAATGAAATGATAAGACAATCAATTAATAAACCGATTGTTATGTCAAACAGTTTTAATTATAACTGTAATTAAAACAAACATTTTAGTGATAATATTCTTGTGGTATAAAATACTTACAGATATATAACAATCAAATGTTTTGTCAAAATTTAGTTCAACTAAATGTGTCAATCAATCAATCAAATGACTGAATCAATCAAACCGTACGATACATACAAACATACAATCAGTTTATGTTTTGCAATATTTTTTTATTTATGTTTACTTTGGTTTCTATGGAATTCAAATAACTATTATTTCAATTAAATTTTATGCAATGATTTTTTACAAATCAAAAAGTTTTATTAAACAATTTTTTTTAAATTTATTTAAAAAAATAAATAAATTAATTATTACAATTACATTTAGTTGTTATCTTAATGAATGTATTGATTTCTACAATATTTTTGAAAACAATAAACACAAACATACATCCAATTTAAGGCAACCGTTTTTTATTAATTTTTATATCAATCAGTATTACCGGTAATATTATAAGTTTATATATTAATTAAAAAATTTATTTTATATTAATAATAAGCAAATGCTTTTTTCAAGTATTATTACAATACTTTTAGTTTTTTTCTCATTAAATATATTGATTCTCAATATAATAGATCCTATTATCAACGTTAAGACTAAACGGTATGGATTTTATACGAATTGACTTCAATTTAAGACAACCGTTGATCACTTGATCCACATCTGACTTATTGATTGACTTATAATTTTTGGTATCAATCGTTAATGTCATCAATGATTTCAGTCTTGATATGAATGACAGACATAAGCCATCGATTACGCCGAACGAGTCATCAATGTATAGATATTGAAGTTTCGGTAGATTTCGGTGTATATTCCAAAAGAAATGTTGATTATAAAGAGTTAATCTTAGACTCAAATGAGTCAATTGTGGCCAACAATTGATAAGTTTGAGTGATGCAGACAGTGACGGATCAACCATATGGTCGTTCAATTGATTAATGACATAAAATCCATTTAAATCCAATCTTTTCAATTGTTTCATGTGTTTGATGGCATTGAATATATTTTTATATGAGACCAATGAATCGGCTTTTAATTCTAACTTAAATGACTTTAGTCGCCGACAACTGTTGCCAATTGTCACCAATGGCTGAGCTATGGAATTGTGGTTAAATAAATCAAATCTTATGTCCAATTGTTCCAGTTCTTCAAATCTACCGATAAGTGACAGCAAAGAGACACTAATAGTGTAATCCATTGAAGTGAAATGTAGTTCAAGACGTTTCAGATGACAATTGCCATCGATGAATGTCTTGAGTCGTATGAGATGGTCTTGAGTCCAGTTATTATCCAAATGATTTATATACAATCGATGTAAACCTTTGACAACCAATTGGTCGCCGATAAACGTATCGTCTATTTGGCGGATCGATGATAGCTCTCGGAGTGAAGTCATTGATGAAAAATATGGTTTTATTATATCTATTTGTTTGTACTTTGAGATAATCATTTTGTTAATCATTTTGGGAAACGTTTTGCACAAGAATTCGATGTCTTTGTCGGCCATATTGCCAATCAAGCAATCAATTTCTCGTAGTTGTGGCCAAAATGTCTGAAACCGATGTATGGCTCTTATAAATTGTATCTCTTGGCGACCAAAGTGACAGATATAAACGATACGAACATTTGGAGTCCTCTTCATCAGTGATGACCAGATTTTAGTGTCCAATTGGACACTAAAGTAATCTTCTAAAGTACTTAAGTAATCATCAATAACTTTCAGTTTCAGCTTTAAAAAGATAGAGACTATTTTGTGAGTCTGCCGTTGAATACCACACGACTGGAACTGTTTGGATACACACTCTAAACAAAACTGACCATCAATTGGCAAATATCTTAGTATAAGTTCAGCCAAATCATCGCCGAACCGATCAAATGATGACTTCTTATTATTATTATTGTCCATCACTTCAAGCGATACTTTATGATACTGTTGTGATGGCTATTGAAACAAATGAAATAATAATACAATTAATTAATTAATAGATCGGTTGGTTGTTGTGTCACAACCAGGGTTTTAAGGAAATAAATGCCTGCCCTGGCAATGCCCAAATAGATGCCATAAATGCCTGGCATTTTGGGCATCTATTTTATTTGTCTGCCAAATTAAATTGCTAAAAAGCAACTGTATTTATAAAAAATAATGTAATTTACTGTTTTTAGCTTGTTAATTAAATTTTCAATTAATATAATTAATTCCAATGATATTACCTTTTAAGTAAAGATATACAAAACAAAAATACAAACAAATATCGATAAAACAATGTTTTATAGATAAAATAATAATATATAATTAAAATAATAGGTGTCACCACCTGAAAATAGATGTCCAGGGCATGGCAGAGGCAGGGCAGGCATTTGGCAAAATTGGCATCTATTGTTAATGCCTGCCATTTTTAAAACCCTGGTCACAACAAGTGATACACTATTTCTTATTGTAAATCACTTACTGTTTGGTAAATATGATAATAATTATTAATCAAATGTTTTTTTCAAACAATGACTTCAACTAAACAAATACTATATAAATGATTATATAATATATTATTGATTACAATCAAAATTACAGTCAAAAAAGTTATACTTATTATTATTATTGTTGTTGTGATAGCTATTGAATGAATTGAAATGATTAGACAATCAATCAATTAATAGACCGATTGTTATGTCAAACAGTTTTTAACTGTAAATATGATAAGCATTTTAGTTAATACTATTCTTTTGGTATAAAATACTTACAGATATATAACAATCAAATGTTTTGTCAAATATATAGTTCAAACTAAATATGTATTCAATTAATCAATTAATCAATTAATTGATTCACTAATCAGTGAATCAATCAAACCGTACGATACATACAAACACATTGAATGAAAAACACAATCAGTTTTCAAATTCAATGCTTTATTTAAAATGTTTTTTAATATTTCTATAGAAACCAAACAAATTTTTTATGCAATAAATAAATTTAAAAAAAGGTTATTATTATTATTACTTTTTTTAAATATAATAAAATATATCATTAAATTACTTAAAAATTAAAAATAATAATCGTTTAGAAGAAACAATTTATTTTTATTATTTAAAATATTTAGATGTTTTCTCAATGAATGTATTCAATGACTACAGAAATTATTTTTTTTTAAATATTAAAATATATTAATTAATTTCAAATCAATTTAATGCAACAGTTGATCCACTTGTTTAACATCAGACTATTTTTGTTATATCTTTTTTGTTGATAATAATCCTTAAAGTTATCAGTAATTTGTGTTATCAGATATTTATGAAGTATTGGATCAATTAAATAAAAAAAATAAAATAAAAAGTTTCATAAATTATATTAAAAACTTAAGTTAATTAATTTATTTATTTTTTCCTATATATTATTACAATCATTTTAGTTGTCCTCTCATTGAAAAAGTATTGATTTTTCATCAAAAAATATAAACTACAGGTACCATCAAAAATGAAGTATAAGTTTTTAAATATAAATTTTTAAAAATTTTAAATGACTAATATTTAAGTTTATTTTGTCATACAATCATTTGATTTTTTAAAGTAAATTATAATTTAATATTTAATTTGTATAAGTAGTTCGTATAGAAATGCATTATATCTAGCATTCTCAACTGGTTAATTAATTAATTTGTTAATTAATTAATTGTAAATTGATCTAATTACAAATAATTAATTGTATTGATTAAAAAGTTAAATGTGCCAATACTTTTAACCAACTTTAAAAAACATATTGATGTATATTTTATTATTAATATTTTACTGTAATTTATTAAATTGTGTTAAACAGAAAAATATTGTTTTACAGTTAGCAACAATTGCTTTAAATTAAAAATATATATATAAATTAATTAATCTAAATATACTGTATAATAGATATTTATTATAAATATTTAAATAAAACAATTATTAATTAACAACAACTACAATGAAATTATTAATTTTTAGTAAACTATTTATGATAATAGTTATGATGATTGTTATAATAGATTTATTAGCAAACAATTGTATGGCCAATGATTACGACAATAACGACAGCAATGGTGGCAATGATGACAATAATGACAATCAAAATAACAGTTTGTATTAATTTTTTATTAAAAAAAATCTTAATTTTAAATAATTATTTTTTTAAAAAATAAAAAAGTATTATAATTTAATAGGGGTTTGCAATGCTTATCACAAAAAAAAACAACTTTTAGAGATAATTTTAGATTTTTTTTGGCAATATATGATAATTTTTTTAATTTTTTTAAAATGAAATTTTTTAACTTTTGGTTTCTCAGGGGAACTGTATTTCCTGAACAAAATTTAACTTTTAGTGAAAATTATACTATTATTTAATTATATATATATAATGCCATTGTTTCGAAATATGAATCCTATAAAAAACATTACTTACAAATGTTTAGTTTTTAAATTTTTTTTCTAATTTTTTCTAAAAAATTTCATCATTTTCTAGATCAGTGATAAAAGTTACAAATACTAAAAAAATAAATTTATTTTAATTATAATTTATGTAAAGATCCATGGACAAAAATTAAAACATACACATAAATTAGTACAAAATAATTTATAAAAAAAAATTAGCATTTATAATTGACATTGATAAATTAATAAGGCGTGGTGGTTCACATATTACGTTCGCACTTGAGGGGAGGGCTAAAGCGAACTTTTGAGAACGAGTGGGAGGGGAGGGGTATAGTCTTTAAGAACGTTCGCATTTAGATATTTTATTTCTTGTTATGGGGAGGGGGACATGCGAACATAGGGGAGGGAGGGGGTCTAGATTTCTTAAAAAGTGCGAACGTAACATGTGAACCACGCCTAAATGATATAAAAATAAGCATTTTTTATAAGTATAATATTATATGTGCCATTAAATGATTAATGTGATAATTAATTGAAAAAAAAGTTATCATGCTAACTTTTTATCACTTTTCTAATAGATGGTGGTGAAACTTGTCTACCGGCTGACGCATATTGTCTTAAAAAAGATCAACATTTATGTTGTGTTCCCTTATGTAATGT